CGCCTATGAATAGCCCCTCGAGCCTACCCTGTATACTTCCTTCTGAAAATCGATACTCCGAATCAAATTCTAACGATTCTTTCGTTTTCCCAAATACTCTTCGCAAGTTCGAAACAAAGTCCGAGAATAAGAATTCGAGGAAGAACAGGGGTAGAATGATAAATCAACATAAACTTAATTACTAAAGGCGGCGGGTGATCAACGAGTGAAGGAATTGCGAGAGGGGGTAGACAATCGACTGGCTCGACCCCTGGTATTTCGATAGCGAAAACTTTGAAACCCTCCGCCACTTCTCCAGAAGTGGCAAAGCGTCCGAGGAAGGGTGAGGATGGGTGGTAAGGCTGGTCTGAAAGGGGGTGAATTGGGGCCCGTGTTACGTCGGGACTGACGTGGGGTTGCATGAGTGGGAAACGAGGAAATGGGAAGAATAGCGACGGCCTCGGGGGTGTACCGTCGAGTCGAAGAGAGAGGGATGAATAAGTTTTGATGGGGGTGGTGGGGGTGTTGCGCCGGTGCCGTGCGTATTGATCGAACGCGCGTCGCTCCGACGCCAACGACGCTGTGGATGCTATACTGACGTTCGTGTGTATAGTAGGGGTTACGGAATCGAATGGGCGAGGGAGAGAAAGAGAGAGAGATAAAGAGTGGGATGAACTTCTTGTTTGCTAATGGGATCTATTAAAAATATCGAATCCAACGGGGAAATTTCATTTGTGGACATTGCGTTTATCCTCATTTATTGGCGTAATGAGGATTTTAATTACGTTAATATTGACACCATCCATTTTTTAAGTGAAAAATTATGGTGATTGCATTGTTTAATCAAATGAATTTGATTTTTAGTTGTGGCCTACAATCATTTACTAAAGCTCTGAAGCGATCTGAACTTGCATCCTATGTATTTTGTTTCAGAACTTTAGTAAACGACTGTACACTGAGAGAAAATGTAATGTAATGTCAGAACACTTATTTATGGAGTCAAATATATTAGCTCGTGAGGACAAATTGTGTGGAGCATAAATTCCACAGAATGAGTGCCATCTGCACACTTAAAAATTTTTAAATGGAATTTCCAATAAAATAAAAATAAAAAAATCAAAATAAAAAAATCGTGACGAGATGCACTAACCCCATGTCTTTCGAGATTGCAACGATTCCAAAACTTTTGATGTTTTTTCAGATAGTGATGATCTATCCAAAAAATTTATCGTGTAGTCTCGACGGCATCACTAACTTTTTTCTCCCTGCAAAATTCAATGTGTAACTGGGGATTACTTGAACTGTCTCTCTCCCTCTCTCTCTCTCTTTTTTAAAATTCCTCAAAATATTTTCCCCGAGGTGCGAAAGCCTGCAAATGCAACGAGATGCACCTGCGGTTTCCCAAGAGCCTCCTCGAAAGTCCATTATGGTGAAAACGTAAATGGCAATCGACTACAGCGAAATAAATGAATTCGGGTGAAAGGGTTCCAGAGTAGTGCAACGTGTATGCGGTTTTCTCTCTGTTTACTCTTTACAGTTGAACAGACTCAAGGCAGAGTATCTCCATTAGAGACTTTATCCAGTGCAGCAAAATACCGCTCAGAGGGTTACTAGTAAACTTGTACCTCGCTCACTCCTGTTACGAAAATAAAATTAAAACGGGAGAGTTGTACTCGGTGGATCTTTCGTTTAATCTTTTTGATGCTTGGAACATGGTTAGCGAGTGTGTTGTAAGTGGTTGGCTGCGCGCTCTTTCGATCGTTAATTAGAACGGTAAATGAATGTTTACGTCTCGACGAAAACATCCTAATCAATTTTTTTCGACTAGGATTCTTAGTCTTCGGAACAATATTTATTTGGACTGAAATTTCTGGGAGATATCGTGAAAATTTTTGTCAAGTGACAGCTTCATTTTTCAAGGAATTTCTTTATTGAAAATTCACAATTCGATGAAAAAGTCAATGGCAACTGCACATTTTGGTGCACGAAGAGAAGTTATTTAGAACAATTCTAGTGCTGGTAATAGAAACAATCCCAATACACCGGCTATGAAAAATTCTACACTGATAGAAAGGATTAGTTATTCACGGAGAGAAATATTCAGTAAAAATTACGGAACTTCAATTCACTCACCGATTACGGAATGGACTCAGAAAATTTAAGTGACGGTATAATAGTAATTTTTCACTGGAGATTCAGATAAAAATTACGGAACGCTCTGGAAAAATTCCGTGACAGTTCCGTAAAATTTCTTACAACCACATTTCGCTCTGGAATTCCGAAAAAGATACGTAATTTTTATTGAATATTTCTCTCCGTGTTGTTAACCCCTCACGTACGGGCTCGGTATGTCATACCGACCCATGCACAAAGGCACGGCTCTTTTCAAAATTGAATATTTATGTCATAGGTGCCCAGAATCACGCGATTCCAACCTCGCTTCGCTCGGTAGAATCGCGGATTCTGGGCCCTATAACATAAAATAGTATACAAAACTCGTGCGTTATGGTGTTTTTTGACTCGTGGGATTGTAAAACTCGCCTTCGGCTCGTTTTACAACTTCCGACGAGCCAAAAAACCCATTACGCACTTGTTGCGTAATATACTATTCCGAAACTATGGCAGATAATACAATCGGACTAATACCATTGGGAAGGTGAATACTGTGGCTTCAATTCAGTAGCGAAGCGGTAAACCGGGTTAAGTCGATTTTGACTTTTGGGCATTTTTTGACAAATATCTCGGAATCTAAGAGAGATAGCAAAATTTTATTCATCACTTTTTTTATAACCCTCAGTTGGCTCTACAAAAAAGGTCATGACAAAAATTTTTCTATCTCTTTTAGATTCCCAGATATTCGTCAAAAACTGGCCAATAGTCAAAATCGACTTAACCCGGTTTACCGCTTCGCTACTGAATTATATATTTTATTTATAATTTTTCATTCATCAGAAAATATGGGATGTGAAGAGTATTGAGCGTGTGGTAGACTTGGTATCAGAAAGACCCCGTAGGTGAGGGGTTAACGGATGAGTTTGGTTTGAGGCTAGGGTCTATTCGGTCTCACCAAATGTTCATTCTTTAATAGTTAATGAATGCACATTTGTGGGGCCTTGTTTGACTCGACTTCCACCTTTCATGTGAACCATTCGTTATGGCGTTTCGTGTGTTGATCACTGAGGGGCGGAGGGGTAAACGGAAGGGGAGTCTTATTGTTCTCGAGCCTTGATTCAATCGCTGAGCACGACCTTTTCCAATTTCTAAGTAACTACTTAAGTGTGCAGTTGAATATTTTTGAATATTGATTTTATTTATCAGATTGATTGATTTTTTTTCTCATCACCTACGGGTTTCAAATAATTTTTATTGGATGTTTTTCTAATTAGTGAAATAATATTAAAATGCCGATGAAATTTTAATTTTTGTCTAAATGTGTATTTATCTATTTATGATGTCAATCTATTTCCGTGGATGATAGCAGTGGAATAAGTAATGAAATGCTGGGAGAGTAGAAAAGTAAAACTAATTTATTATCAAATTGCAAGGTTCCGCTAAAAATTTTAACTTCCTCAGGCTCTTGAAAATTCTAGTACATATTCACAATGTACTTTAATCAATTGTGTATTAAATATCTGTAACAAATGAATTGATTAAGAATTGCGAAAGCCCACAATAACACAAGGGTTTGGAGCAAGACATATCAGTATATCATGATTATTTGTGTCTGTATCAAGAAATTAATTCCGCAATATTAGGGGAGAGTGGGGCAAAATGAAACAGTAAAAAAAACGACTGTTTGACGCAATTCAGACAAAGAAAAATTTTCATTAAATATTTTTTTTTATTAACTTTTTTTTATTCTTGGGAATACTGATTGGAATAATAATTTTCCATTCAGAAGAATAATCCATTGACAAAATCTTCGTCCATCAAAATTTCTTAATAATTTTCCATTCTACTAAATGGAAAATTATTATTCTCATCAGTACTTCCAAAAATAATAAAAAAAATAACAAAAAAAAATTTTATAAAACCGATTTTTTTTGCTTGAATTGCGATTAAGGCAATTTTTTTGACGTTTCATTTTGCCCCGCTGTTTCATTTTGTCCCACTCTCCCCTAGGTCTTTTTTGCCAAATTGGAGAAGAAGATACTCAAAATGACTTATTGAATTCCTTTAGCTGTAATTTTTTCGAAAAATTGAACGACGAAAATCTACAACTCTCTGAAGCTCAAGAAAATTCTGCCCCAACCCGAAACAATTTACTCTCCTGAAACCAAGAAATAGGTGATATAATTATGAACGAGGTGAAAAAAATTTAATGTCAAATAGCGACGTTTCGCTGAAAATTTCAGTTTTCCCATGCTCTTGAGAATACTAGCACATAAACACAATATGCGCTAATAAATTCTGTGTTGAGAATTCGTAACAAATGGATTATTTAAAAATTGCAAAAGCTACACAAAAGCAAATCACATGTCAGTATTTTTTGTGTCTGGGTCAAAGAATTAATTCGATGATATTAGCTTGTTTTTTTTTCTCATTTTTGGAGGAGTTGCTCAAAGGAGTCCATGCAACTCCTTTAGCTGTAATTCACTCAAAAAATGGACGTCCGAAGCTCAAAAATAAGTGATATAATGAATGGTGTGACGAAAAAAAATTGAGGATCAAACCACGACGTTCCGTTGAAAATTTCAGCTTCCTCACGATCTTGAGAATTCTAGAACGTCACAATAAACGCTAAAAAATTCTGTATTAAAAAATTGAGAAATTAATTCCGTCAAATTAGGTTCTTTTCTTCATTATCGAAGGAGTTACTGAAAATATTCCACCCAATTTCTTCCAACATGATTTACCAAAAAAAATTAGACGACGAAAAACCTTTAACTCTATCTCCGAAGCCCAAAAAAATCTCGCCCCATCCGAAGCAAAATCACTCCCCAAAAACCAAAAATCCCCGACTTACAAAAAAATTTTTTTTCAAATTCCCTCCAATAGTAATCCGAAAATACGTGATTTAGGTATGGCAGCGAGGGTGCGGAGATAGCGGAGTCGGCGCTGGTTGACGACAGTCTCAATGGGAATCCTACTCCACCGTCATCGGCACTGCCCAAACCATCCGCGACCCTCGATGCCGCTAGTTCAGACCACAACGTCAGAAAGTACGTACTTCTAACAGTCGTACTAATCACTATTGAGTACTTCCACACCTCCCGCTCCCCATCCCCGTATCTAATTGGTTGTGATTCCGCTTGAGCCGAGGCTTTAAAAAAAAAAAAAAAAAAAAAAAAAAAAAAAAAAAAAAAAAAAAAAAAAAAAAAAAAAAAAAAAAAAAAAAAAAAAAAAAAAAAAAAAAAAAAAAAAAAAAAAAAAAAAAAAAAAAAAAAAAAAAAAAAAAAAAAAAAAAAAAAAAAAAAAAAAAAAAAAAAAAAAAAAAAAAAAAAAAAAAAAAAAAAAAAAAAAAAAAAAAAAAAAAAAAAAAAAAAAAAAAAAAAAAAAAAAAAAAAAAAAAAAAAAAAAAAAAAAAAAAAAAAAAAAAAAAAAAAAAAAAAAAAAAAAAAAAAAAAAAAAAAAAAAAAAAAAAAAAAAAAAAAAAAAAAAAAAAAAAAAAAAAAAAAAAAAAAAAAAAAAAAAAAAAAAAAAAAAAAAAAAAAAAAAAAAAAAAAAAAAAAAAAAAAAAAAAAAAAAAAAAAAAAAAAAAAAAAAAAAAAAAAAAAAAAAAAAAAAAAAAAAAAAAAAAAAAAAAAAAAAAAAAAAAAAAAAAAAAAAAAAAAAAAAAAAAAAAAAAAAAAAAAAAAAAAAAAAAAAAAAAAAAAAAAAAAAAAAAAAAAAAAAAAAAAAAAAAAAAAAAAAAAAAAAAAAAAAAAAAAAAAAAAAAAAAAAAAAAAAAAAAAAAAAAAAAAAAAAAAAAAAAAAAAAAACTAGTAGCGCTTGAAAAACTGCATATTGACGCCGAGTATTTGTCCCCAGTCTGATGAAATTCGTAGTCACGAGGCAGCCGCTGTACTGCGTTGAAATTCACGTGCCGCTCATTCCTCGCACCCCCCCCCCATCCCGCCCCCTTCGTCTGCATTTTATCGGCGATTCCGATGGACCGCGAGCCATGGCGGCAATAAAAGCTTACGATCGTTTCCCAAGCCTGTGTGGAAATTCACTTGGTCATTTCCCCAGGATAGAATGACGATAATTCTCCATTGGAAACAAGGAAAATGTGTCGTTAGCCTATCGTACAACTCGACCAATCGTTATTCAATGATCCCGATCGTTTGATTATGAGGCGGAGTGGGAACTCTCGTTTTATTGAAGGCACATTGTTCCTCGGTGTGGCCTAGGCGGTGAGGAGAATTTTAATGGGTCGTGTAACATCTGGGTAAATTGAAACGATTTTTCTTTATGACCTCTATTCACCTAATGAGGATGACTGGGGTGGGATTGTGTCAACGCTTAATTGTACTGGATCGTAATTTGTCTGTGGAGTATTGTTGCGGCTGCTGGCACTGGCTTTGTCTGTTATTTTGATTTGTAGTGACATTTCATGATGATTTTGTAGTGAAATGAGTTGATTCGACTATTCAGTTTTCATTGGTTGAGCTGGGGTGAGTAGATTTTTTATGATTTCTCTGGAAATTACTCGATAATCGAATTCTCAATAATTTATTTACTGATCTGCTGATTTGGTAATAATTTTACACAGAAAAAAGGATCTAGTTTTCGGAATAAAGTTGGTTGCTGTTTTCTGGGAGATTTTTTATTTCAATTCAGAAGAAAATTCTCTGAAATTCAACACCAAAAACGTACTTATTTTTGGTGAAAGATGTTCTTGAAATACGACCAGCAATAATTGTATTATTTAATGAACTACTTAAATGATTGAATTATTTAATTAGTTCAGTTCGGGATTGACAGAACATGAATTCAACATTGATTCGATCAAGATCCTAATCCATTGATGTCAGGTGATATATTTTCAATGACAACGAAATTATGAATTTCAAAGATATTTTCAAGGATACTTGAAACATCAGTAGCTATTTTTTACATTTTATTTCAACTTCTAAAACAGGAAACATAATCCACTCACGAATGAGAATGTTCTCAATTTAATGAGCCTTTTTCTAGACCCACAGAAATGACGCATTTTAAAAATTATAAAAAGTTTTATTTAAAAATTTTCTATCAATTTCAACAATATTTTCGTTGGGAATTGATAAACTCCAATGCGAATTTTTTAATTCTATGAAATAAGTAATTCATTCATTCGAGATGAATCCTCTATTCGAATCAAATAATTTATTAATTTTCACAAATCCGTCCTTTTCGTCATCTAAATAATAATCTCACTATATTCGGATCAAGGAAAAATTTATTTATATCTGAAAAACGACTTGTTTGATATGAATAAAAATGCAAATAAAAATACTCTTCAGGTTTTGAAGAAAATGTTCATTACAAATTTCATTAAAATTCAATGTAAATCAGTAGCGAAGCGGTAAAACGGTACAAGTCAATTTTGACGATTGACCAGTTTTCAATAAATATCTCGGAATCTAAGGGAGATAGCAAAATTTTGGTTATAACCTTTCTTATGGAGCCGATTGAGTGCTACAACAAATGTAATTACGAAAATTTCGCTATCTCCCTTAGATTCGGAAATATTCCTCAAAAATTCTTACTGAAATGAAGTTCTTCCAATTTGGATAGACCATCTCTCCGAGAGTGGTTTCAAGGAATAGTGACTGTAATTTTTTTTCTCCCATTTTCAAGGAAAATTTTCATGTTATTTTTTTTTTTCTAAATTCAGAGAATTTTACTGAAAGCTAAAAACATTTTTCTCCGCGTTATTAACTTACGTTGATAATTATTAATGAATTTGTTTCTTTTATGATTAAAGTTACTGCGAGAAAGCTGATAACGAGCCAACAGACATGGGCGGGGTACCCCACGTTGAGGAGTCCCTAAACAGTGACATCTACGCGATTCCCGTGAAGAGGCGTCAGCCAAAGGAGCCGAAAAATGTCAGTCCCTCTCAGAACACAACCGACAAGATCATCGACGGCAGGGACTCGGAGACGAAGGACGAGAATCTTCCAGCCGGATGGGAGAAACACGAGGGTAAGTAACCAACTCTCAGTCCAAAAGTTTAGCCGGAGGCAAATGGCTTGTGTCCGGTAACTATGGTCTCTGGATGCCGTCGGTGTTTCCGCATCGAGGCCTCACCCGGATCTTCCGAATAATTTATCGACCAAACCACCCTCGCAGAAGCGCAACAGGTGACTGACACGCGCCTTCCGTTCTTTCGTTTTACAGACAAGGATGGTCCCTACTACTGGCACATCAAGAGTGGGACCATACAGAGAGAACCACCTGAAGTACCGCTGAATTCGAAAATTGAGAATCGCAAGAGTTTTGTTAAAGATCAGGACAGTGTGAGTTGTATTTTCTTTTGTTGAGACCTGAGGATATGGATTTTTGGTAATGGGGTATAAAATGGATTGAAAATGGATGGAAAAAATGGATTTTCTAATTTTTTTTTGCTATATTTTGTTTTGGTTTGCATTACGGGTTCCGAGTGAAAAAAACTTAGAATATTTATGCCCAAGTATTCCTGTAGAGAAAATTCCAAGAGGAGATTCATATAGAAAAATCGAAATCTATTGACTTTTCCCTATCAAATACCTCATAGAATCAGCGCTGAAAACAAAAGAATTTTAACGAGAATTCACTAGAATTTTAACAGAATCCCAATAGAATTTCTAGAGAATTCCAATAGAATTTTCTAGCCAATTTGCTAAGTTTTTCCAATGATTTTTTTCAAACGTGCCTAATCAATTGATTTGACATAAAAACAAGTGGAAAATTACTCTTATATTGCATATAGTATTGTTATTTTTGCTAATAAATTAGCAATATGTTTCCAAACGGTTATTTTGAACATAATTTCCTTCTATCGTGTATAATACGACTGTCACTGTTTACTTCATCTTCTGACTGATTTTTTATTTCACAGAGAATTTTTCTCCAATGCTTATTCGATTTAGAAATATTTTTCTCATAAACATCTGATTGTGCCCTATGGCCATTCATTTGACATTTCTGACTTGGCTTTGTTTTCATTTTTTGGTATTTGTCAAAAATTTCAACTGTTCAGTAAGAATCAAAGAAAAATTGTTCTTGGCGCAGTTTTTTTGCAAAAATATTTGTTTTTGTTGTTTAAGGAGATTTTGCAAGTTTTTTTCCAAACGGCCACATAGTTACTCTCCCGACCTTTTATTTCTGTTTTCCACAATGGAATGAAAACTATTTTTCATTTTTCCCGCCCGCGAAACAGAAAGTTCTACTGAATTTCAATCCGATAACTTTTGAAAATTCATTTACGCACGGAAACCAATTGAAAAATATCTGTGGAATTTATCGTTGATGCACCAAATTCAATTTATAAATTGCCGAGCTCCTTCCTTGGTGCGTGTGGTTGTATTGCACTGCTACCAACTCCGTAACAAAAAAATTATAGGAGAGAATGTAACATGCAAGAATGTGCATATGAACCCGTTGCTACGTACGTAATTTGTTAAATATTAATTTGAACAAGAAAATTCTGGCAAAAACGTTACTGAATTCTCAATCTATTAAAAATTCAATTGCATTTCATCTTTAATTTTGACAATGAGTGTAAAAATTCAAGCGTTCATTGAAACATCAATGATCGCTGAACATGAAAAACCCAATTTTCTCGAATTTTCAAAATGAATGAGAAATGTTATAAACATTTTCATTTGAAATTGAATTAAAACTCCCAACATTGAGAATCCAGATGAAGCTTTGACTGAAATTTCAAGAAATTTCGAACAGTGTGAATTCCACTTTAGAAAAACAGTCAAATTAAGGCCCTTTGTTTCTCGATCCAGATCACCAATTTTCACTCACTGGGTAGCATGGTAAACACAGTAACCAGAAGTAACACAAGTTCAGCCTTAGACCAGGAAGTGGAGAACAAACGGAAAGAGGAATTGGCATTGAAGAGAAGGAGTTACCCAGCCAGGGCGGACTCTGAAGGCCGTGACAAACCGATTAGGTTTGCGGTGAGATCCCTCGGATGGACGGAAATAGCTGAGGAAGATTTGACACCGGAGAGGAGTAGCAAGGCTGTTAACAAGTGTATCGTTGATCTGTCACTGGGGAGAAACGATCTCTTAGATGTTGTGGGACGTTGGGGAGATGTAAGAACATTTAGGATTCAGCCTAGATCAGATGGGAATCGATGCCTCAATTGAATTTACATTTTTTATGGTTCTGTTCAGGGGAAGGATCTGTTCATGGATCTTGATGAGGGTGCACTCAAGCTGATTGATCCTGAGAATCTTACGGTGCTTAATACTCAACCTATTCATACGTTGAGGGTATGGGGAGTTGGAAGAGATCACGGACGGTAAGTCGAAGGGAAAAAAATTCGAAGAATCATTCAGAAATAAAAATATAGAATATTAAAGACTAATTTCATATAAAAATGCATCGTATTTTACTATGTTTTTGCCAACATTGCAAATGGATTCTATAGTGAAAGGTAACTAGAGAAATGGAAAGAAAAATCCCAGCGAATAGAATGGAAAATTGCTACTGCGAATTGGTTTCCTCATGCTGAAATTCGATTTCAGGGACTTCGCGTACGTAGCGAGAGACAGATCGACCCGAAAATTCATGTGTCACGTATTCAGATGCGACATCCCAGCCCGCACAATCGCCAATACCTTGCGTGACATCTGCAAGAAGATAATGATCGAACGCTCCCTCCACCAGAATCTCGCGAAGCCGGTGGATATCAATGGGAGAACGAGCCTCGCAACAAGACCAACAAATTTACCTACGGAACATCGTCGGTTTCACAGGAACGATCAACCTCTTGTCAGTAAGTTCGTTATCAAAATATATCAAGACATGATACAAATGTGACATCTGCACTAAAAACTTTCCCTTTCTCCTCAACAGCACAATCATTTCCAACCCCAATGGAGGAGCCAAAAAAGGTTCTCCGCGCCCAGTACCTCGGCTCAATGCAAGTGACGGCAGCCTCAGGAATGGAGGTCCTCAACGACGCGATAGACCATACTGTTACAAACACACCCATCAATCAGTGGCGAAACGTCAACGTTGCGGTTGCACCCAGCATGATCTCTATACTGACACCAAACGTGAGTTGCACACATTAACTAATTCCATCTAGTCACGCACATCCCATTTCCCCACGTCCCATAAATCCAGGGAGATTGCTCCCTAAACATTAATTCCTCAAATTACCACCCAACATTTACCCCATTTGTTCATCAATTTTTTAGGACGACAAACTGATAACTGAGTGTCGTGTTCGCTACCTGTCTTTCCTCGGAATTGGCAGAAATGTTAAACAGTGTGCATTCATAATGCACACGGCACAGGATCTCTTCATAGCACATATATTCAATTGTGAGCCCAGCAGTGGAGCACTTTGTAAAACAATTGAGGCTGCCTGTAAATTGAGGTATCAGAAGTGTCTCGATGCTCATCCACAGGGTTTCAGAAATTCTAGTAGTCTCAGTACACCGAGTGGACGGGGAATTGGTGCTACGTTGAAATCACTTGTGGGATCACTTACAGGGAGAAGAAATAAGCAGGGTGAATCCTGAGACGAGGCTCTCTCGCTGCAGGTAATTGGTTAATAATTCATTTTTCCTGGTAGTTTCATTCAAAATTGCATCAGGATTGAACGGATACTTCACGGAGTATTGCAATCATCTAATTTTGCTGGGAGATTGGATGACGGTGATGATTGGTGACCTGAATTGCAAATTTATTCTAAATTGAAGGAAATATTTATTCGGGGTTCTCCGCGTGAAGTTTCTTTCGGACGAAGTAATTTCATCTACTCCAATTTCTGGAGCAAATGTATCCCTAGGTGGTTCAAATTAAATTCTTCTGATTATTTTTCCCAATCGCATTTCGACCAATCAGAGCGCAGTATTTCAGGCTACCCAACAGTTTAATTTCGGATATTTCATCCTAGCTTTTGAATATTTCGCAGTAACTTTTCATTTTTTCGGCTTATTGTAGATTCTATTAACATATACCCAAATAAATTCGATTGAATTTTTCAATTGAATTTTTTCACAACAGGAATCGTGAGAAGTATTCCAGAAAACTTCTACTCCAATAGAACTTATGCAAAAAATCAGAAAAAAATTCAAGAGATAGTTTTCCATCAACTTTCAAGGGGCAATCATCAGCGATTGATCAATTGCCCACGAAACCCCTCATTACAACCATTTTCGTTCAGTCCCGAAGCTAAACTGACTGATTTTACCCGAACCCATAACCACCCTTCAAAATATTTGAAATATCTCACAAACGTGCTGAGACCCATTGATAAAATAAATTGAATAAAGTCAATGGATTCAGGAGCTGTGGCCACTGCCTGCCGAGCGAGAGGTGATACGACACAGGCATCTCCAATCCCCGTTGACACTTAAATACTTCGGGGGTTCCCCGCCGAGCGCCTCACTGAGGTCCCTGCTATCGCCCTCGTTGGACACGAGACGCATTCAGCTTGCCCGCTGGGAGTCCAATCCCTAGAGGACAGCCATCCTCCCATTCGCGCAGGTAGAATGCCGCAAAGATTATTAATCGTTAGTCAAGGATGAAGGTACCAGTGAGAACACTGTCGAGAGATTGGGTGACTCCGTTGATCCCCAGACAAAATAAGCGAGAAATCCACCAAAAAAATTATGAACCAGGCAAATTTAACCAGAAAAATAAAACAGATGAACCAAAATAAAACGTCACGCTTCAGGCGATAATTCGCATCGACGCTGCAAATAATTAAAGTAAATAAATTAATGAAAAAAAAAATGTGTAAACGCCACGATTCCAATCGGTGGGATCATGCTTATACGTATTGTCGATATGATGTTTCTATGTAATGTCTTCGAACTTTTCGTATGGCGCCCAATCAAGTGTTGCTTGTCCTAAAGAATTAAAAAAAAATGCGTCTCTTTCTCGACTCTGGTAATAAAAGAATTAGATAGTTAACGTTGCTAAATTTATCAGAGTGAATATGTTTTGCTAAAAATGAAAGATAAAGATGAATAATCCTGTATATAGTTCAATGATTGTACTGAATCTATAGGCGTTTTTGCAGGGGGGGGGGTGATGTGTGAGAGATGAGATGTAACGGATGATAATGTGGTTATTACGCTGCGAGACTGTCGTACGGGGCATTTCAAGGAGCTATAGAGGAGCTTATCGTAATATAATATATGTATTCCCAGTGTACAGACTCTAAGAGGATGCTTTCATGCTGAATGGAGAAAGAATGATACATCAGGACTCTTGACACATACACGCACGGAGGAAATGATTTAATAGAGGAACCTATGGAACTTTTTCCACTAACGAAAAAGTTTCGGAGGTAAGCCTAGAGAATTTGCTTCAGAATTCTGCAAGAATTTTTTTCTATTGAATTTCTAGTGGAAATTCTGGTAGTTTTCCATCGATTCGTGCATTTTTTTAATTGAAAGGTGGGGATTTTAAAGGGAATTGAATTTCCCACAAGTGAATTACTGAAAGGTTCTTTTCCGAATAAATACAATGAGTCCAGAAATTTATGATTCACTGGTAGAAAATTACTCTTGAAATTTCGAGTGAAAAAGCTTGAAATTTTTAACAACGACAAAGTTACATGAAATTTCTGTAGAATTCTTCATTGACGAATCAGTTAAGTTCTTGAATATTTAAGTAATTCTCGATTTTCAGGTCCATACGGCACTGAAAAACCTTGAAAAATTTTTTAATTCAGACAACAGCTTCTCTGAATTTTCAATCTATTGAAAATTGCATTGTATGTGATGTTCAATTTTCACGATGAGTTTGGAAATTCAAGCTTTCATTGAAAAATCAATGATTCTTTAACACGAAAAACCCAATTTTCTTGAATTTTCAAGAGGAATGAGAAAATTAATGAACGTTCTCATTTGAAATTAAATTCAAACTCACAACATTGAAAATCCAGATGAGATTGTGACTGAAATTTCATGAAATTTTTAACAGTGTTGAGTATTCCCTCATGTAAGTATCAGTATTTATCGGGTACCCACAATTTTCTGAGCCTGAGCAGCAAATTATTTTCTCATTTTCATCAGTTAAGTACTTGTGCACATTTATTCATATTTTTCTCGTCTCATTAATTGATCTAGCCGTTATTAATTATCAATGTTACTGAAGATCTTATTTGATACAACATGAAGTGTGATCCATTTTTACAGAACTAATTTTGACTTCATTTTTCAGGACTAAAATTAACTAAAGAAGTCTTGAATCAATTTGATTTTATCTAAACATTTATTTATAGCATTGATTGTATCTGCAATATTTAATTACATGATATCGTTTCTGAACAAAATTGAATTTAGTTTCAATGTAATTTTCAAGATTTTTTTTGAGGTGAGACTAATTTATTAATAAATTTAGATGATGGTTGAATTTGTGATGTAATTCGATTGATAATTAACTTTATTCTGATTTGGTGTGGATTATTTCTCTTTGAGTGTTCGAGTTGATGACCTGTTTGTATTCCCATTGACTTTGGTGATCCTGTTAGTCATTATTTTTATGAATCTGCTAGCAATTTTACATTCTTTATTTTGCTGATAGATTTTGATGTTTTCGTGGGGATAAAATAGGCTGAGAATCGTTCGTAAAGAAAGAATTATTATAGATTCGACAAGAAATGTTGCCTAAAGAATTTTTCATAGAAAAAATCAATAGAAATTGATTTTTCTATGCAACAATTTTTTTATTTTGTTTTTTTTTTATGAGAAAAAAAAGAAATCAAAAATTTTTGAAAATTTATGTTGAAGAATTCATGTAAAAAATGTCTCAATAAAATTCCCTCGGTGGCTCTTCGATTTTTTTTTTCAGACGTGTCATCAAGAAATTTTCTTAAAACTACTGCTGAAGTTCTATTAGAATTCCATTCAAAAAATCCAGTTGTCAGTGTATTTCTCAATAGATATTGTTTTATAAAAAAAAAGCCTATAGATGTTGATTTTTCTATATAATTCATTCTATTGGGATTTGTTAAGAAAAATTCTTAGGCATGAATTTCCTGAAGTCGTTCCCTTGGATCTTATTGTGCGAAACAAATAAGAATGCAGTGGAAAATTTGTGCTCAAGAAGTTCCATAGAAATAAAAAACAGAACTATTGAATTTTTTGCATCATCTTCAATAGAATTGATGCAAAAAATCGGAATTCTTCAGCGAAAGCACAAGGAATCACTTTTTTTCTATTAAATTATTTCAAACGTGCAACAATGCTGTGGTGACACATTCACAAACTCGAATTCGTTCGAGCTAAACACCCTCCCACTTTACAATTCCCCATACATCTCACACGATTAAAGTTTAATGTTGAACAAAATCACGTAAGTTGATAGGGGACTTATTTTTTATGCAAAAAAAATAATAAAGAAAAAAATTATAGGTGAGCTTGCGTAAGAAGTGATATGACAAATATTAGAACGACAAATTTTTTGGGGTCGTGAAAAGTATTATTGATATTCAATTGAATAGCACGAAGTTGATGAAAATCGATGAATATTTGACATTTTTTTGAAGAAAAAATATGTGTCTAAATTTTGGGATAATAGGATGTTTATATTGATTGATTATGCTCACGTGTGGTTAATCTGCACAAAGAGATGAATGAGATGAATTCATCGATGTGGAAAAAATAAATATATAGATGATAAAAAACGAGATACGAACAATATGGAACAAGCATGTATCCAGCTGATGAACGAACAAACCCTGTCCCAATGTTCCTAATAACTCGACAAGTCTTAAAACTATTGAAAGTGAGAGTCCAATGCTCTGTCAAGCCTCTATAGAAAATATAACTCGATATTGTTTTCTCAGACGAATGAAAGAGCCGGAATAAAAGGATAAGGAGATAAATCAAGGTCAAGGGGAACGAGTAGTATGAATTGAGAATTGTGAATGAGAATGAGTTTGATGTTAAGAGAGATGGGATCAAGAGTGATGTCGAGATATTGAGTAGGAAATTATTTAATAATACACGACGACAATTCAACCTTCACGCATCGGAGTGAATGAATAACTGATCATCTGAATCATCGTTGTAAATATGGATACGCTGACCCTTTAATTGTGACTTGAAACAGTAGTAGACCCAGAGAAATGAACGAGATTGGTTGATATTTCCCTGAGACTCGCCCCTTAGCGCAACCATGAATGAATGATATTATGTACCGTGATGTAATAAAGTAAATTTCCTCGTACTCGCCGGGCACTTTGTCTATCTTTGAACGAATTTCTTGAGGATTGTTCATGGTAGAAGTGAGTGAGAGGAAATCCACTCTATTGAAATTATATTATGAATAACAGAACGAGACGTGATCACCACGTGTCGAATATTTAGATATAAAACACGAAATCGCCACAGCTACATTAAATTAACAAATTCACATGCGCAGTATGTGACGTGCACGCTCAGAGAAATGTTTTATTTGAATTTAATAGATGGGTTTATTCAAATGAAACTTTTATTGAAACTTAAACTCAATTTTTATTCTGTGGAAACAGTTTTTTTGTTTTTTAAATATAAATAAATGGTCTTTTGGTGCAAAGAAAGTCGTTATTTGTTGGAAATTAAATTATTGTTTAGACGTCGAGGAGAATAACTTTATTGAAATGTCAGAATGAATTATCTACTTTATATAGCAAAGATTTTTCGTTGGAAAAAATATAAGCTGTTGAAAAAAAATTTCAAATTTCGTCAACGTTGAGGTCGATTTATGAGAGACGAAATTATGAAATTTAATATTTTACTGAAAATTCTGTGGAATTCCAAATCTTTGAGGAACAAGAAGATGAGCATTCTTCAATTTACTTGAATTTTCAATTTTAAAAAACGACGATTTAGTAAGAGATCACGCTGAATTTTCAATTAAATGAAAATTAGTGGATTTTCCCTGATTTCTATTAATTTTGATCGGATAATTGCACTGAAATGGACAGTTTCCATTGATTTTTCATTTTCTAAAATTTGCATCATAATTATTGCAACGGTTTCAGTTTATTCAAAAAGAATACTAACTTCTCAGCTATTACGGGTCATTACAGTAATTTTAATTACTAATGAAAAAAGATAAGAATAGAGAGAAAACCAATTCTTTCACTAATTGACAACGTTTCGAACACACAGTGTTCTTTATCAGGGCATTTATTTATTCTGCATATATAAAAAAAAATTTCAAATGAATATTGTGACCAACCGATTCTATCTTCAATCTATTGCAAACCAGATGATTCAAAAAATTTAAGAACATATTTATTTTCTCCCATAGTATAGTTATAGTTATTTAAAAGTTGTAACAGAAATATATTAATTCAAAGAAAATCACTGAAGTAAATATTCCAACAGTTTTTAAATTTTCAATTACAAAATTCCTTGAAATTTCAGTTGAACTATAATGTGATGAAAATTTCCAAGAAGTAGCCCGGAAATTTCACCCGAAAATTTTTAACAGTAAAAGAGATTACAGATTTCCAAGAAAACCAAACGTTGAGATTAATTAAAAATGTCAAATTACAGAATTTTTATTTGATTCAAATGCTTCATTCTTCTGAGTGTACATCCACGAAATACCTCAGGGGTGCGTACGTTACATACTGCAGACATTCACCACGAGAGAGAGTAAAATCTATGTATTACCGCCTTAATTTTATTCCATTCATGAACATCCACAAACGACAGAAGATGTTCACAAAAGAAAATTTTGAAAAAGAATGAAAAACACTGGAGATTAATCTGAATCGTGTCCGAACAATAAACAAACTTAACCGAGCGAAGGGGGATCAACCGTTCGCAGGCGATGGATATTAACGTATTAATTAAGTAAATAATGAGCATTGCGCTGTGTATGTAAATCCGCTCCCTGTGTGTCTCTCTAGAGATTTGATATTTAATTTAAAATGTGAGAATTGGAGGGAAAATTTTCATGGATAACACGGCGAAATATTTGTAGATATTTTTCCGTACGTGTTTATTGTTTAACTGAGGACTGAACACGAAGAGAAAAGTTGGATAAAAATTGCCCAGAAAATCGCGGCTAATTTTACTCCGCGAAAGGTAACCGTGGAGTGAAATGTAATTCAATGAAAAAATACCTTTTTGGGGAGTATATTTTACGACTCGTTCGGTAACGCAAAAATTATCGTCGTGCGCAGTAAAATTTCCACAACGGTAGGGTATTTTTTCATCATGGGGACGAATGAAAGTGAAATTTTACCGAACGCGTTCGATAGAAAATCATTCTCCGTTACAGAAAAATAAAACACAATATTGGGCAATCATTCACGTTCACTGGGATAATCTTTGATGGAACGCAGGGTAAATTTTACCCTCATAAAATTAACCTTCGATCACTCGTGCTCAGCCGCCAGTCTTCATCCGTCGCACGGTTAGCGCAGCGTCGCTGGGCTAAACCGAGCGCGCTGTTGCCACCTTGGCGCTTACCGCTATGCGCGCATATCAAGTGAGGCAGTGACTGCAGCAACACTGTCGCTCGCGGGGTCGGCAGAGACTCACTCGCACGGGGCGGCGCGGCCCCGCTTTTCTGTCCGTTTGAGGTTTCTTTTTTTTTTAGTTAAACAAATCATTAGCGAAGCGATTAAGTCGACTTTGACTGTTTGCCATTTTTTGACGAATATCTCGAAATCGAAAAGGGATAACAAAATTTTTGTCACAACCTTTTTTGTAGAGCTAATTGAGCGTTATAAAAAAGGTCATGAGAAAAAGTTTGCTATCTCTCTTAGATTCCGAGATATTCATTCGAAACTGGCCGAAAGTCAAAATCGGCTTCCCCCGGTTTACCGCTTCGCTACTGAAATTTCCCGAGAAAAAAACGGACAACGCCAACGCTTAATAAAAAGATTGAACTTGGAACTCTAATTTTCTTAGAATTTTTAAGCGCCGAGAAACGCGCTAAAATATAAAAAAAACGAAAACCGGCGGCGCCGCGCTCATTGTACGAGTGATCGAGGGTTAAATAAATTTTCCGGATCAACGGAGAAAAATTCACTATTCATCTCGCCCTTTTTCCCCGATATAGAGTAAAAAAGTACTGAAAATGGAGTTCGCTCCACGATTACTCGACTTGTTCGATAATTTTCCTCCAACTGTTTTCTCCGTGAACAAAACTGCACTAGCACGACATTGAAATGGAGGAATGGAATGAAAATACTTACGAGGCACGCGACATTCGTGTAAATTCCCTCTCGGTGATTATTAATAGATCGAGGGATTACTGATACAAATAACTAAGGCCCGAGGACAATTCAAAGTCACGTTAAATGATGAAGAATATTAGTAATGACATCTAATATAATTAACTGTGAATTTTAATAACCCTCTAAAGTTGTATGGTTACGAAAAACAAAGATGAATTAATTAATCCACTACCGATAGAATGAGGAAGAGAAAAATTATTGTTCTGCACAAAAGGAGAAACACACACGAAAGCTTCATCGATAATTCTAGGATTTTAAATGGAGATGAAACCTCTGTGTTGCCCCCTCTCAGAGAAATTTTAAGTGAATCATGTCCAGTCATAAAAATTTTTCATCCTTCGCGCATTGTTATCGATAATTTTCATTTTTACATACGTAAGAGGACAATGAGATTCCATGGACACTGTTTCGACGTTATTTAATGAGACAAGAAGTTGAGGCACAGTGATGAGCTTTTGAAAGAAAAAAAATTGAGTTATAAAATGAGATATATTGAATGAAAGATGAAAGAAAGAGTCGAGGAAAATTCACTTTGATATGCACCCGCCCACTGTACACGCCCATTCGTATGCGTAGTCGGTTCGTACCGATTATTATAACAGAAAACGTAAAAAAATGGATTAAAAAACGTAAAAAAAAATTACCAAGGATATTATAAAGCAAACCGAATGAAATAATGTAGCTACACCTGCCTCTTGTGAATAAATGCCTGTTTGTTTCTTTTCAAATGAATGTTCTATGTTTTGTGCATTTTTTTAATGAAATGGTTATTTTTTGAATTCATAATAGCTATATTATTTAGTTGTGGGGGTTTGGGGGTCTACAACTCGGGTAGAATTTTGTTGAAGGGCACTCGAGTGAATATCTCGTTAGCCATCTGGGCGAATACCAGACCGAATGTCTCGTCGTAGGAGGCCTGGAGCTCTTTGAAGAGGAGATTGCGCTCTCGTTCAAGAAGGTGTTCATCTGATTACGTAGGAATGTGTCACCATCGAGGAGATTTTCGAAGTTCAGGCAGACTTTCTCGAGACTGTACTTTATGTCGTATTCCTTTGTTCTCATGTAGGTTTGGGGTTTCAGGTTCATTTAAATTTTCGTAACTGAATTTTTTTTCCATTTAAGACAGTGAAAAATCAGTCGACGATAGATAAAATACAGTAATTCACGGAAATTCTTGTATTGGGATGTTGCGTTAAATTTTTTTATTACTGGTTAAAGAAAATTGAGTAAAGAATGATAGATGGAAAGAGTTCCATGAGCTGTAGCTTTGAAATTCTTGGAACAGAAATCTAACGAAAATCGATTAAAAAACAAAAAATTACTAAGCATAATAGAAAGTAAACCGAATGAAATAATGTAGCTACACCTGCCTTCTGTGAATAAACGCCTGTTTCTTTTCAATTTTACATAGTCAGATTTTTGCCACTGAAATATTTATTCTTTATTTAAGATGGAGAAAAATCAGCAGACGATAGATAAAGTACTGTAATTCACGGTTTTGCTACTGGATAAAGAAAATTGAATAAAAAATGACAGATGAAAAAACATAAAAAATTACGTTTCGCGGATTTTCTCGGGACTTAATTTTACTTTGTATTTCGTTATTCTTATGTAGGTTTCACCATCCTCCTCAAATTTATCAGCGCAGAATGTATTCTGGGTGTTCAGATTCACTAAAATTTTCGAAACTGAAATATTTATTTTGTATTGAAGATGGAGAAAAATCAGTAGACAATGAATAAAGTACAATAATTCACGCGAAATCTTGTATTGGGATCTTGCATTAAATTTTTATGTTACTGAATGAAGAAAATTGAATAAAAAATGATAGATAAAAACTATCCAATCGCCTGTGGCTTCTAATTTATTGGAACAGAAACCTCCAAAAAATCGATTAAAAACAAACAATTACCAAGAAATAATGTAGCTACACCTACTTCTTGTAAATAAACGCCTATTTGTTTCTTTTCAAATGAATTTTTCGGTTTTGTGCATTTTTAAAAATGAAATGGTTGTTTATTTAATTCGTAATATTTACATAATTTAATTGTGGGGGGTTTGGGGGGTCTACGACTCGGGTAGAATTTTGTTGAAGGGCACTCGAGTGAATATTTCGTTAGCCATCTGGGCGAATACGAGACCGAATGTCTCTTCGTAGGAGGCCTGGAGCTCTTTAAAGAGGAGATCTGCATTCTCGTTCAAGAAGGTGTTCATCTGATTACTTAGGAATTTGTCACCGCCGAAGAGATTTTCAAATTTCAGGAGAACCTTCTCGGGGTTGAATTTTACGTTGTACTTCGTTATTCTCATGTAGGTTTCACCATCCTTCTCGAATTTCTCGCCGTAAAATGTATTTTGGGTCTTCAGGTTCACTGAAATTTTTGCAATTGAAACATTTACTTTAATATTATATTCATTTTAATTCATTTATTTTAATCCAATTTAAAGTGGAGGAAAATTAGTAGAGCAGCGATAAAATATAATAATTTAAGCGACGATAAGGCAAAGTGAAATACCACACGGACAGAAATATTCAATAAAAATTACGTATCTTTTCCGTAATTCCGGAGCGAAATGTGGTTGTAGGAAATTTTACGAAACTGTCACGGAATTTTTCCGGAGCGTTCCGTAATTTTTATCTGATTTCCTGTAAAAAATTGCGATACCGTCACTTAAATTTTCTAAGTCAATTCCGTAATCGATGAGTGAATTGTGAGTTCCGTAATTTTTACTGAATATTTATCTCCGTGCAGGATAAATCGGGTATAATGATTAATTATTTGGGAGTTTTGAGCCCGTGACTGTCTAGCTAATATCAAAGGCTAATTGAACCCCGACCACCCGCAAAGCAGTAGAAACAAGCAGGTGACCGTGAACATGTGACTGGAAATTTTCTACTTGGAAGAGTGTTTATCGTTTTTTGTCATAAATAAACTGACACCCGCACATAAATACCAGGTCGTCGCAGTTCATATTTTTACGCTTTAAAATATTCTATATCATTTCTAAGCAAAATTAGGAAATGTGAAAATTAAATGATTCCAATGTTGCCATTCGGAAGCAAAAGGTAAAAAACTGCAAGAAAAACCATTGTTGCTCTACTTTTCCCTATAAAAAAATTTGAATGAGGTTTCTGCATTCAGTCTTTTTCATCCGTGGATAATTCTTTTTTAAAGATAGAAAAAACGTATATGAAATTTTAAAAAATGGAATTGCTCGGGATCTGATTCGAGTGGGTAAAACCTAATTTGAATTACTGGATAATGGACATTGCGTCAAAAATTATGAATCGCAAGTGCTCAATTGCCTGTAGCTTCTACATTTTTTCCTATTTTCCAAAACGCTAAAATACGAATTCGTTATTTCTCAAATCCGTAGCGAAGTGGTAAAACGGTTCAAGTCGACACGTATGAAAAAATCGTATAGAAATTTTCTATACGGATTGCATATAGAAATTCTATAGGATTTCCGTATATCATATTCGGATATTTCTATACGAATATTTTCTATACGAATTATTTCTATACATAAATGTTTGTTTTCATACGAAAGATGTCTAAACGCTTCAGAGAAAAACGTAGAGAGTGGGTCGTATGGGATCAAACCTATAGAAATCGTATAGAAATAATTTGTATAAAAAATATACGTATAGAACTATTCGAATATCATATACGAAAATCCTATAGAAATTCTGTACGCAATCCACATAGAAATAGTAGATTATGTCATCGGGCGATAAAAGTATTATCTGGCGAATGTGGCTTTATAATCACATTCGTCAGAAAATACTTTTATCGCCGTGTGATATACAATATAAAATATTGTCATTGGGCCGTTTTCGGGCTCAATGACATAAATTTCTATGCGATTGTTTCATACGTGGACTTATCTCCCAGTTGAGTTTTTGAGGAATATTTCGGAATCTAAGGGAGATACCGAAATTTTCGTAATTACATTTATTGTAGCTCCCAACCGGCTCTACAAAGAAGGTTATAACAAAAACTTAGCTATCTCCCTTAGATTCCGAGATATTCATTGAAAACTGGTCAATAGTCAAAATTGACTTGCACCGTTTTACCACTTTGCTACTGAAATGACTCTCAAATTTCATCATTTTATTCAACAAGAAGGGTTGCCAACATCCCAATCATCTTCATTAATTCGACAATTTTGTAGTGAAGTGGTGACTAAAATCAATTGTGAATTTGGGATAACGTGGTTAATTTGTGGAAATTATTCTGAAAGGCACTCATTTGAAGCCGAGAGGTCAGGGGACCCTTCAATGGCCATCCGAATAGCGAGTAGAACAGGAGACATACCCTAGTCTCTATACTCATCCATAATTGAGGCAATCAAATGCTGGTGGGCGATTCTATAAAATCGACTGGTTTTTTTTCATGAAATTGTATACGTGATATGCAGCCTGAAATAAGAGGCTTACTTGATGACTAACATAAGATAATTAATATAGTAAAGGACACTTACACATCGTAATATTGGAGCGGCCATGACCTCGAATGGGCAACACCAAAACTTTTCCATCGACCGTGTAATCAGCGACAAAATCCACTTGTGGATTGAAGGACATTGATTTAAAGACGAGATTCGGCAGATCTACCCTAAAATTTATGAAAATATGAACTTTCGAAGCATTTGGAGCAACGCAGAGTGGAGCGGGACTCCTTCACGATGCGACCACTTAAGGGGGGACTACTATGAGTTTTAAAAGTCGTGGGCTATTGGAATGAGACTTTTCATACGTCGAAGATCGATTATATAGATCTGAAAATGCACTAATTATGCGTTAGCGCTAGCGTTTTCTCTCGAATGTTGTCATACATATTCTCTTTAATTTCAAGATATTCTATACGAATTTGTGTCAAGGGCAATAAACTCCACTTCAAGATGACCTTGTGGAAGACTTTTCCCGTCGAGAAAATTCGAAGCTATAAAAATGGATTTATGAAAAATTTCGCCATCCCTCTTCGATTGCGAAATACATTTCGAAAACTAGCTGCCAAGGAATACAGTATTCTTTCCAGACTTGATTGCTATCGCAAGAGACATTGGAAAGATTCGAAGGTTATACAGCAGATAATAATTTCTTACTTATAATCTGAGACTTCGAGGCCCTTGGAGAGTCCATAAAGTTTTATATTTCGATACTCCTGCTTGAGGCTAACGGCTCCTCCTCCTTCTCCGATGGACACTGAATCGACTGACAGAGGGTCGATGGGCAATAATCTCAGACTTTTCAGTCCTGAAACACGAATTCAATTTTAAGGAATTATTTTTTCATTTTTTTCATTTTTAACGTGATTTGCCGCAAGGGGTTTGCGACTGACCATCGCCCGACGGCCTTCAGCCTGTTAATGAATTATTTCCCATATATTTCACATATTCGAACTTCTGAGAACAGATATCCGAAAGATAGCGTATTCGAACTGCTGAGGCCAAATTAGTTAGCCTGACACAAACGAGTGGACAGTTGCATTTTTTTAAATAAATGGGTATAGTTATTGTTGCTAATAAATTAGCGATTTGCTTCTGAATGGGTTCTCTGTTTTTTAATTCTTTTTGTCACAAGGCCCGATCAACCGCGATTTTAAAATAATCCCCACTGATAAACCCCAATTATGAAAATGACATTTTCTCTTATAGTGTAATTCTCTTGGCCAAAATTTGGATGAAAAAATTCTCTTCCGAACAGAGATAGGCATAATCATAAATTATAATTATCATTAATTTCCTAAATACTCAATCAAGAATAGAACTTAACAATTTTCAATTATTAAATTAATCAACAATAAAATATTCAAATTCCGAATTATTTCACCAATCAATAATCGAATTCGCAAGAATGACGATTATTTGATAATCTCTAATATTTTTTAGGAAATTTTCAATTATTTACCGAATAGTTATTTGAAAAATTTAAATTCTCAATTATTTTATTATTTTCTAAGTACCAATGATAAATGAATGAATTCGGATATTTTGGGGAAAAAATTCTCTTAATATTTCTGGAATAATGATTGATGCCGGTCACTGCTTCCGAATACCACTCGAGCTTCCAAATTAATGAGGTATTTCCCTTGAGGTTCCCTGCATACAAACGAACTCGTCAAGTTTTTCTGGAAAAATCATTTAACTGGAAAAACTTGACCCCTTCGTTTATTTGCAACAAATCTATCGGGAAATCCCTGATAATTTTGAAGCTGTTGTGGTATTACATACGACAATTTTTTGAGTAATCGTTGAAAAATGAATTTTTGGAAAAACATCAATTTTTTCGAATCATAATGAAGAATTAAATTTTGATTTGTTTCAATGAATAGAGCTTATTCTAGATATCCAAGTACTTTGGCTATCTTTTGCTTGCGAATGGACGCATTGTAATCGTCTGATTGTCACGTTCCCTAATTTTGATTGGAAATTATGTAGAATGGATTGAAACGTAAAAATACGAAGTTTGGCGACCATGTCTGTATGTGAACATGTCCACCACCGCCTTCCCGGTGGTCAATTTTTGAAAAATTAAGTAATTTTAGAATTCTTCTCGGTTCGCTCGGTTAGATCGTGGTTTTCGGGTCCAATGACATAAAATATTGTATGTCACACTGCGGTAAAAGGTTCATCTGACAGAGGTGATTATAATCACCTCGCCTTCGGCTCGGATTATAAAGTCACATTCCTCAGATGATCCTTTTATCGTCTAATGACATAATGTACTATTGTTCGGGATCATAACAAATTTATTCATATTCAGAGTTTTACGACAAATCGATTTCATGCCTAAAAAAATTAGGTTTCGGAAAGTTCAAACAATTTCAATTGTTTATTTATAAACAACAAATATTGAAAAAAATAATAATTCTGTGCAAAATGTAATTTAAATGACACTGAATATTCATGATTTTAATCATGGCTATTCAATCGCAATTGAATTATTCAGTTAATTTAAATTTAATTAACTTAAGGGCCGGGTGTGCTATCTTTCGAATGTCATCTGAATTTTTTTTATCTTTCGTAATCCAAAATTGTCAATTGAGTGGTACATCATGTAGAAATTCCCAAAAATTATGATAGCATGATAAAAAAAAATAGAAAAAATTCTGAACTTTTCAAAGAGTAGTAATTTAGTACTAATAGACTTTTAGTACTTTATTTTAGTACTAATAGAATTATTAGATAATACTAATAATTTAGTACTAATAGTACTAATAGAGTAGTAACTTTTCAAAGAGTTTGTAATTTTCAAAGAGTAATTTAAATGACACTGAATATTCATGATTTTAATCATGGCTATTCAATCGCAATTGAATTATTCAGTTAATTTAAATTTAACTAATTTAAGGGCCGGGTGTGCTATCTTTCGAATGTCACCTGAATTTTTTTTATCTTTCGAAATCCAAAATTGTCAATTGAGTGATACATCATGTAGAAATTCCCAAAAATTATGATGAAATGGTAAAAAAAATAGAAAAAATTCTGAACTTTTCAAAGAGAGTTTTTAATTGGGATTCAGAATGAGTTGAAAAAAGTAGAAATTTCAAATATCTGATTCGCTGTAGCAAATTATCTATTAGCTGTCATTTTCCATAGTGGATAACAAACCACTAACTCCTCATGGGAAGTGACAGCTAGGTATCTCAATTTTCAAAACAGTGATATGTAATCATCTGCCATTTTTATGTGATAAAAGTGTGATTAAAAAATTCTCCAAAATATTACAACTTTTTTCAAAGAGCCTTTTCCGTAATAAATGTCTCTGTGCAGTGTGGGAAAAGATTTACGAAATCAGTCTTCCCCCTGCATGATATTGGGTGACAGGCCGCCATTTGTCACCGTAAATCAGATACATTTTTCAATTTCTTGTTATCCAACTTATTCTGAATATAAATTAAAAATGCTCTCTGAAAAAATTAAGAATTTTTTCTACTTTTTTTTATTATTCATTCATAATTTTTCAAAACTTCTGCATGATGCAGGACTTAATTAACAATTTCAGATGACGAAGGATGAAAAAAACATCGAGATAACGTTCAAAAGATGGTACACCCGGGCCTTAATTTCAATTTCGAGAATAAAAAATAAAGAAAAAAGACCACATACATACAGACACCATCTAAAAATCACATATTCAGACTTTTTAAGCCATATTTAGTTACACAAAATACACAAAATTGGAAACTTAAATTTGAGCGATTAAAAGCTTCCATTTGGGAGCAAAAATTGGAAATTTCGGATTTGAAGAATCCAATGCTTCCATTCGGAAGCAAAACTAATTGAATCACGAAAATGAACACTTTACCGGGTGCCATCAAGTTGATCGCCTGCTTGGAGGCCTCAGCGAAACACTCCTCCAGATTCGGATCATTCTGCTTGCAGATTTTGAAATTGGAGGCTGAAAGAGAAATGTCAAAGTTATTTGGACAATCGTGAAGCATTATTTTGCAATACCTGCAGTAACCCCTGCATTCCCTATGCGTCTACCCGAGCATAATCTGGCAATCGACTTTCTCTTTTATCACCGGTTGGGGCTAAACTGCTCACCAAGGTTTGAGAACAATTACACGATCTCTGATTAGTCTACACGGAGAGAAAAGTTGGATAAAAATTACCTCGAAAATCGTGACAAATTTTACTATACGAATGGTAATCGTGGAGCGAAATGTAGCTCAGTGAAAAAATACTGGTTTTTAGTGGATATCTTACAATTTTCTCGGTAAAAAAAATACATCTACTGTTAGAAATTTCTTGAAATTCCAGCCACAATGTCATCAATGAAAGCGTTCACTAAATTTCTCATTCATCTTGAAAATTTAAGAAAATTGGGTTTTTCATGTTAAGGGGAGGCTACTATGAGTTTTAAAAGTCGTGGTTTATTGGAGTGAGACTTTTCATAAGTTGAAGATCGATTATATAAATCTGAAAACGAATAATTAGTGTAAAAAAAAATTTTTTATTGTTCGTTTGCCCGAAAACTCTTAAAATGCTAAAAACAGTCCGGGCCTCCAATTTTTGAGCTATAAAAGATTTTTTTTTTCAAAACTTTCGGAAAAGTGTGTGGAACAATAATTATGAGCCAGTTTTTTGGAATTCGAGTCCTAAACAGCTGATTTACCTTTTTTTCATATAAAAAAATTCACTATTTGTGTAAAAAAATACAAAAAAAGCAAATTTGGCGAATTAAAAAAAAAATAGCTCGTAATTGTTATTCCACATATTTTTCCGAAAATTTTGAAAAAAAAATTCTTCGTAGCTTAAAAATTGGAGGCCCTGGACTGTTTTTGGAATTTTAAGCGTTTTCGGGCAAACGAACAATAGAAAAAATTTTATTGCACTAATTATTCGTTTTTAGATCTATATAATCAATCTTCAACGTATGAAAAGTCTCACTCCAATAACCCACGACTTTTAAAACTTTTAAAATATTTTTTTGATCAATAGTATGGCAGTTTTATAAAATGAATGCTCAAAAAATGTTATGCCCTAGATTTGGTCAATTGTGTCATTGGTGAATATGTGGATATATAGCAGTGTCAGCGTGACACTTGCCAGCGTAACTGGATTATGATAAGTAAGTGATGAAATATAAACAATCAACATATTATTTAAGTGGCCGTTTGGGTATGCACAGATCAAAGCCAAATTGGACTTCGAAGCGTAAAAAGAGAAGTTTGTGCACGGCGTACAGCTCCTGGGGTACTATGCGACACGGTTGGAGAGGAAGTCGGCCCATGATAACCACAAATTAGGGAACTTGTAAAAACCCGAGTAGGGTATACATGGCAAATAATAAATAAATAAGACGGTATAAAAAATGAGTAGGGGAGGGTAGAGCAAAACGGACCGCAGGACCGAACGGCCTACTGACAGAAAATTGATAAATTTAATTGCGGTTCAATGACACTTGTCTATAAAACGCCTATGACGGTTACGATCCAAGAAACTCACTTTTAATTCAACACATTCAGTGTTCCTGACTTGAAGAAAAGAAAAAAAAATGAAAAATTACCAATTTTCTGTCTGTGGCCAGTTTTGCCCTGCGGTCCGTTTTGCCCTCCTGGTCCGCTTTGCCCTACCTTCCCCTACTAAAATCATGGTAGGTACAATTCTCTGCAACTTTCAAATTTCGCGGTCTCCCCTTAATACATTTTTCTGTACTAGTGAAGGGGAAGAACAATTTTTTTAATATTTCCCTTCTCAAACACGATTGACAGCCTTAATCTACTGAAGATATATTTCTTCTCTTTCTTTTCAAAATAAAATATATGTGTATATATATGTGTATTTTTTTCACTCACGTAAGTCAGCACCGTGTGTTATCACACAAAACAAGAGAAAAATTCCGGTAACAAGTTGCATGATTGATTTAATTAATTTTTTTTTGTTAAGGAATCGGTATAGAATGGTAGGAATGCCACGGAATCTCTGAGATTGTCGTCCGAAGTGTTAGCTCGTTAGGAGATTCGTGTGACGACTGACTCGACACAGTCAATCATGGACAGTATTTAAACGCATGCCCCTCCAGGTCGGGCCCAAGCAGCTTTTCTTCCGGCTAATCGTCCCGCAGAAGACAAAAATTGGACATGGGATTCTTCTGCACTGCTAAATTTTTTTTGAAATTTCGTAGAAGATATTACAATAAATCTCATGAGAGCGACATTGAATCGGATTTAGGGAAAAAGTGGTTATGAAATTTCATGTTTTAAGTAGAATTCACGGATATTCATGAGTTTTCAGTGGGAGTGAGATGGAAATTTCACAACTTGATTGAATTTTCAGTGGAACATGAATATTCAGAAACAAAATTACACGAATTTTTAATTTTTCCCCGAATTTTCCTGATTTTTCTGAATTTTCACAGAGTAATTGATCTGCAAAATCAAGTCTTTTATTGATTTCCAGATCATTGGAATATTTGATTTTTCGGTGACAAGATTTCCTTGAAAATTAAGTGGAACTTGAACACAAAAAATTTTTTCGGAATTTGGCACAGCAAATTCAGACACGGAAAATTTCCAACAGGGTGATCCTGAATTAAATACGTGAATCATTGCAACAAGTAATTTTCAGTTTTATTTGGACTCGTTTGTATTTTTTACAAGTATTTCCTGGATGTAATTAGATGAATCAATATCATCTGGAAGTCAGTTTTTCTATTCAATTAATAAATTGTTTCAATTTTTGGCGAAAATTTCTCCTACACTCTTCGGAAATGTCTATCTAGTGATAGTTCCATTGGAATTTTAAGACATTTCGTCGTTAAAAATTTACAATTCAATAATGCAGTTGAATAATTTCAGAAAATTAATAGAAATTTTAAAAAATCCGCTAAAAATCTTCTAGAATTTTCAATGAAATGAAAAATTAACATAATGATAGCGACCATTCAGATTGCGACGGAAAATTAAAGTAAGTTTGTAAATTCTCGTTTTGTTGCTGCTCGAATTCCCCCCCCCCCCCCCCCCCCCCCCCCCCCCCCCCCCCCCCCCCCCCCCCCCCCCCCNCCTGCAACTTACTTTTCAAGCCTTCATAAAATTCAATTTTTTTCTAACCGTGGAAGAATGAAAATCTGCAAACCTACCAAAGTGCCTAGCGAATGCGCGAGATTTTCCTATTAAATGTTTTATATGTGTATTACACGATAAAAGAGTAGATACGCAGATAAAAAAAAGAAAAACAACTAAAATTTTATGAACAACCTAATTCTAATCTTCATATGAGTGACACTGAAATCTATTTAGGGAAAAACTGGTTATGAAATTTCAACTTTTAGTAAATGTCTATCAAGAGAGAGAGAAAGAGAGAGAGTTTCATTGAAATTTTGAGAGAATTTGTCATTAAAAAGTCACAATTTCATGACGAAATCGATGGAAACCGTCAATTTAATATAAATCAGAAAAATTCTGGTAAATCTCTAAAAGCTAGCGAATTCGCTAGACAATTCTATTGGATTTCTACTGAACTTTCTAATAGTCTTCGGCCGATTCTGTTGAAGTGTTCAATGGAAAATATTCTATAGAAAAGGTCAAAAGAATTCGATTTTTCTATACAATTTATTCTATTAAGATATTTTCAATAGAATCTCTTCGGCTCAAATTTTCCAATTTTTTTTGTTTGATTTTCTTGATGAGAAGGAAACAAAAATAGAATGAAAAAAACTTAGATAATCTGAGATAAGGAAATTCTATAGAAAATGTCTGAAGAGTCTAAGATACATAGAAAAATCGAATTCTATTGACCTTTTCGATTGACCATTTTAATAGAATCTGCCAAAAACTAGTAGAAAGTTCAAGAGAAATCCATTAGAATCGATTAGATCAATTAGAATCCAATCGAAACATAAATTTTCAGTCCCAAATTACGCTAAATCAATTCATTCAAAAATCGAGAAGATACGTATGAAAAAATTCAACAGAAAACCTAGCGAATTCGCAAAAAAGTTCTATTGGGTGAATTCTATAGGAATTCTATGGGGTTTCCATTCTATAGGTTTTCCATCGGAATTGTATCGAAAAATTCGATTTATCTTTGTGCTGATTCTATTGCAAATCTGATATGACAGAGTCAATATATTTTAAATTTCTATTCGAATTTTTCCCATGAGATTTTTTCTATTATAGTTATTGGGCACAAATTTTCCAAGTTTTTCCGCTGGATTTTGGTTTGTTTTGCATTACAGAATCGCTAGAGTTTCTATTTAATTTTTTCATGCGTGGAACCTAGTGTCAGTTCGTCGTACAAGGAGGAGTGAGACACACTGAGGATTAGAAGGAGACAGTTTGCGGAATTGTTCACGACAATAACTTTTTGTGAATACAAAATGAGGTCCACTGGACGCAATCGCTCAGGAGATGTAGTTCAACGATCATTCCTCACCGTTGTATTTTTTTCGAATGAGCCTAACGTCTTTTTTTATCTGGAACAAATAACTACCTGTGACTTTTGTCTGTTTTCATCCTACACTCAATCCATTGTGTACATTTGTTATTAAATTATGAAAATTAAGTTCTCGACACTTATGACGTAGATGTTCATTGTAGTTCTGGGCCACGGTACATCACAAATACATCGAGGAGTTTTTTCTTCTTTCTTTCATTCACCAATTCCTGCAACTGACAAAAATATGACCCAGAACTACGATGAACATCTATATTTTTAATTAGTTTTATTTCACACATCAGTAGATCAAAGTCAGTCATAAAATTCCAGAATATGGATTGGCAAAATAGCATGGACGAAAAAATTACATAGAAAATTCTATTGAAGTTCTATTGAAAATTCTATTAGTTTTTCTGCCGATTTCATTAAAGAATTTCGCTACTTTACTGCGCGTTTTCAATAGTAAATGTCCCATAGAAACTATTTTATTTCATACTAGGAAATGTCACTTGATAGAAATTTCCGGGTCTCAAATGGAGACTTTCGAAAGTTCCAATTTGTGACTTTAAATAGCTCAATTTTTGCCTTCTGAAAGTATTAACTTGAGACTTTGAAAACATTTAAAAGTCTCAACTTGAGACGTTTAGAGGGTTTAAGTTGAGATTTTCAAGTATTAAACTCAGACGTTCGAATGTCTGAAGTTGAGACTTCCGAAACTCTTAACTTGAGACATTCGAAACGTTCAACTTGATACATTCAAAAGTCGTAACTTGATATTTCCGAACATTTCAACTTGATATATTCGAAAGTCTTAACTTGGACTTTCGAAAATCCCAAGTTGAGACTTCCCTAAGTCTCAATTTGAGATCGTAAGTCTCAAATTCAAATTTGTTTATTTTTTTTTATGTTTCACACGGAAAATTCAGATAAAAATTCTAACCAGTGCACAATAGTTACATAAAATATGGCCTGTTTGCAGATGAAATAACAACTATCTGGCTTGATGTTTATTAACAGTAAACATCAAGTTTTCCAAAGAACTTTTTTCCACTATTGACACGCGTATTTTTTCACAGAATTCTTGTCTTCCACGTTATAACAAATAATATCTCAGTAATCATACTATCATACTACAAGATGAAAGAAGACAATCCATTGTTGCGTCAGACAGTTTGTCCTTGCTATGACCACAGATTGTTTATGAATCCAAATGATGTAGCACGGAAAATCATCAACAACCTGTTTTTTTGTTTACTCTCTCAACCAATTTGAGAGGGTTGAAGATGCTGCAAAGGCCATTCCGAAATTTTTTGTGAAAATTTCTGAAACATAACTCGGTGCAAGAAATTATGAATATCCTACAGAGGTGTCAATGTGATTACTCAACTCCTCGATCATTAGGAAATATGCATTTCCCGATGTTTTCAACTTCAGAGTCATTTCTTCCTCTTCTGTACTTATTTCATAGATAATAATAAAAGAATTCTTACCATCGGAAAGACTATCGTCATAGGCATTGTCATCATTGATCATCATCATAATTAAACTTCCGCATTAATCAATGTTAGTTTTTTACTTCCCTGGTGGTGAATAATTAGGAGAATTTTTCCCTATCAGCAAAAAATATCAGTCACTATCTTTCGATCCGTGAAGTGCCGAGTATGAAATGCAGATCTATACTGGAACCCTACACGGAGAGAAATGTTCAGTAAAAATTACGGAACTCACAATTGGCTCACCGATTACGGAATCGACCCAGAAAATTTAAGTGACGGTATCGTAATTTTTCACAGGAGATTCAGATAAAAATTACGGAACTCTCTGAAAAAATTCCGTGACAGTTCCGTAAAACTTCCTACAACCACTTTTCGCTCCGAAATTACGGAAAAGATACGTAATTTTGATTGAATATTTCTCTCCGTGTATGAAACGCACGAAAAAATATCATGGAAAAACCTAGCGAATTCTTTGGGAATAGTACATTTCGATACAAATTATACATGAAACTGGTTAAGGGGATACGTCGATGAAATTTAAAAGTGTTCACTGAACCTTGGGACCCATTGCACAGTTTGTGATATATGACGAAATACGGGAATAACTAGGGAAAATTTAGGGAAAACTTCATTTTTTCCTGTTTTTCAGTTTTTTTTTAATGTTCGTTACACTCCAAAGAATAAAGTTAAGCATCCGTTTTACTTTATTCGCAATAGATCGTGAATAAATGAATTTTGAAGTTCATAAATTTTACTCTACTCTAGAGCCGCGAAAAATTTATGAAATTCAAAATTCATTTATTCATGATCTATTGTGAATAAGGTAAAACGGATGCTTAACTTTATTCTTTGGAGTGTAACGAACATTTAAAAAAAACTTGAAGTCGTATGAAAAATACGGCGCAAGGAGCCGTATCCCCTTGAATATACATATATCATTGCTTGAACAAAAATTAAATTATACCCGAATAGAAAAATTAAATTCATACCCGATAAGAATCAATAAGAGTTCCTCACCACGGAAACTGTCAAGAAATCGAAAATTGAGAGCTTTTTTTCTTGAAAAATTACGATTGAATTGTTGATCTTCCTACACAACTCATTTAATTGAGGTATTTTGAATGCGAATCTCTGGACATAAATTTTCCAAATTTTTCTCATTCTTTTTTTTCTGATCAAGAAAATGGAGAAAACTTAAAAAATTCAGGTCAAGGAATTTCTGAATGAGGTGCATACACTGTTGAAAATTTCTTGCAATTTCAGTCACAATGTCATCTGAATTTTCAATCTTATGTGTTTGAATTCAATTTCAAATGAAAACGTTCACTATATTTCTCATTCATCTTGAAGATTCAAGAAAATTGGGTTTTTCATGTTGAACGATCATCGATTTTTCAACGAAAGCTTGAATTTTCAAACTCATCGTGAAAATTGAATATCACATACAATTCAATTCCTAATTTCATATAACTTTCTCGTCGTTAAAAATTTCAAGCTTTTTCACTTGAAATTTCAAGAGTAATTTTCTAACAATGTAGGAAGATAAGAATCTACTTTTCCTATATAATATTTTCTGATGAGCTTTCACTGATAGACTGATTCATTTATTCCAAACGAGATTCGTTAAAATGTTAAGTATAAACGAATGAACATTTGATGAATAGACCCTCGTCTTCAACCAAATCCATTCGTTAACAATAACTAATTTTTTCTATCAGTGCGTATAAAAACGCCGGATTTTTCTAATGCAATCGGCTAAAAATCAAGAAAATTTTCAATGGAAGTCCAATAGAAAGCCAAAATAATTTTCTAGACTTACCTGTAAGATTTTAAGAAAACGTGGGATTATGTGTAGATTCGATCTAAAAAATCACTTTTCAATCGGGTTAAGCGAGTGCAAATGAAAGACCTTCATACGGTGCATTCATGTGGATCAATGAGATTTCAATCGTGCAGCGTGAGAGGTAAGTGATTGATTAGTTCGAATGACACTGACTGCCTGCCAATTTCGATAACTGCTGAAGTTGAGATTACGTCGAATTATTGACTGAAAATTGAATACTTTCAAGTCGATGAGTATGTTGCAATAGGAAGCATTAATGCACGCACGAAAAGATTTAATTAAAAGACCTAGCGTAGGGAGGAGTACATGTTGCATTTTTCAAGTTATATAATAATTAGATTCTCTGTTGAGCGTAATTTGAACAGTGCCACAGTGCATGATCCATAAATACATGGAAATAATTTCTAAACACCTTGAAGGATGTGAATTAAAAATCTAAAATGTAAAAAGGAGAGCAACTGTAATAAATGTAACAAATTGGGAAATGTAAAACAGTAGCGACAGTGTGAATAATCTATAATTAGGATTCAAGCACTTTAAAAAATTTAAGAGAAAAACCCAGCGAATTCGCTAGGCAATTCTATTGAATTTCTATTAGTTTGTGGCCGATTCTATTGAAATAGAACAGAATATATTCCATAGAAAAAGTCAATAGAATCCGACTTTTCTATATAAATTATTTTACTTAGATATTTTCTACAGAATTTCCACGGCTCAAATGTTCAATGTATCTTGCATTCTATTTCTCTTTCCTATTCATCAAGAAAATCAAACAAACAAACTTTGAAAATTCGAGCCGAGGAAATTCTATAGGAAATATCTCAATAGAAAATTCTATTGAAATTATCTCTGTTAATGTTTTCTATAGCCTATTTTCTATTGAACATTTCAGTATAATCTGCCAAAAACTAATAGACAGTTCACTAGAAACCGAATAAAATTGTCTAGCGAATACGCTGGGTTTTTCTCTTAAATTTTTTCATATGATAATGAGGGATTACTCACGAATTGTAAAAACAACAAATGATGATGGAAAAAAGGTCAATGTGATGCGGATGAAAGAACAAAAAAGACACATCTTTGCGAAGACGACAGACCCATGAATGTCACAATAAATGAGAATTGTAGGACGCAGTTTGTCTCACTATTTTATTAAAAAAATGTATGACAGGGTCGAGTGGTATAATATAACATCACAGTAGTGGTTTGAGGAATGTATCCAGTCTCTCCCGTGCAAGATACAAATTGCTTACCCATAAAATATTTATAAACCACACAGTTTCATGAATTCGAGTTCATTCAACAGTGAAATGTTAATACGTATGAGCCGATTTCTTACATCTTATTCAATATGGAATGATTTCGTGAATGAGTGATTCTAGGAGATGATGTCGATAGATCTTTTGCCATTCTCTCCTCCAGTCACTCGATTTGAGATAAATCAACAGTCATCAAAATTGTGAAATTCGACTCATGATGCTTTACCACCCCCCAAAGAATTCACAACTCGATAAAATCAATTAAACGACGCCTTTCTGGTACTTGAGAGCAAGACTATTAGCTGGACAAGGAGTTTTGAGCACCCCAAGATCAATAGCATGGCCAGTGAGAGGACAACTCTTATGTCTCTTCTTGTTGCAATTAGAAATTCCCCTCTTGTCCTCCCTCACAATATTCCTAGGAAAGTAGTGAATCATCTTCAACTGGGTAGTTGCACACGGTGGCATCGAGACCACGATATTGTCCTTGGCCAGTCGTCCCACGGGCTCAGGAAAGAGTCGGCTATTCAACTCGAACTGCTCCAGAAATCCCTTCGACTCACACGAGGGAATAGCATGACTAGACTCATGAGTGTCAAAGTAATTCTTCTCTCTGAACTTCCTCAACTCCAGGGTCTCCCTATCCTCACCCAAAGGAATAACCCCCGACGCTAGACGCGAGAGACATCGATCACCGTGACCACAGCAGTCTGCACATTCCCTCGATTTTTTAGAACCCCTACGCCTCTCATTCACCACACAACAAGCGTCGTAGCAACTTCTTTGACTCAACGTTCTCACGACTTTTTCACTCTTCTCCCTCGACTTTCCCCCTTTGCCCTCTTTCTCCTTATCATCACGGTTCGTCGAACTTATCGTTTTCTTTGCAACCCTTTCAGATTTATGAGAAACCCTCGGGGGTAAAATTGTTTCTATTTCTGGAGAAAAGTCCCTTGGATGTGTCTCCACAGGGTGCTCTCGGTGTTTGGGGCGAATGGACTTTGAAGAACTTTTATCTCTGGATTTACGGGATCTATCGATCACTGAGTCGTCAACATCGTGCACTTCCGGACTGATTGATGAAGTGTCTGATCGGTGAACTTCGACTGGAACCTCGACCAAATCCCCTGGGGGGGGATCTATAATTGTGGAGTCAAGCTGAATGCTTATCCCTTCATTTCGTCGATTTATCTTCACATTTTCCGTCTCGTTCCTGACGTCTTCACTGAATGCAGCTCCCAATACTCTACTCTCATTTCTCTCGTCCTGAATTTCTTGATTTCTCTGTGAACTTCGAGAAGATGACTCTCGTAACGACCGCAGAGAGCGTGCAGACTGCTCTGGACAGATGCTCTCGACAAATTGCCCGGAGACTTTTCGCTGGACTTTCCTCAGAAATTCTGACCTTGGCGTGTAACTTATGCCCTGGACCTTCTTCAGAGTCTCGCAGCTGAGGGCTGGAGACACTGGCGCCTCATGAGGAGCTTCAGCTTCAGCCCTGAAGACATCGCACTGACTCTTGCAGTAGTGACAGGGCTCGAAGGCTTTGTAAATCGTATTCGCTGATCTGTATCGGACCTTCTTGGGCCTTCGAGTGCAGTAGCATCCAGGAACCGGTCGTCTTGGGCCCGAGGAGTTACCCACGCGTTTCGAGGAGATCAAGATCCTCCCGCCCACTGTCATTTTTTTGTTCAACGAGTTGCAAGGGTTCAGGAGACCGTTCACACCTGACGAGTCGTTGCGAATCCGCCAGGATGACGAGGGCTCATGAGGGTTTGGCTCGGAGACGCAGTTCCTGGGGGAATTAACGCTGTTAATGCTCAGTTTTCTTATTTCATCCTCAACGAGCCTTGAATTCTCCTCCAATTGGGACAAGAACGAACGACTTTTCTTTCGTAAAACATTGAGTTTGGTGGTGTAAACATCTGCCATACATGTGAAGTTGGTAAGTTGCGGAAGTCATTTGAATAACGATTTCAAAAGATTTAATCGAAAATTGTGATCAAAGTAATACACTGAGGGAAAAAATTTGTTCTGCCGTTGAATTAATTTACTTGTGGACAAAAATAAAGGTTCCACTAAAACATGATCATTTTTGTAGTTGTAATCGTTCTTGTGAGACATTTATATGTCTTTCGGGTAAATACATTCGTTCTACAGAGAATTATATGGGGCTCCGGTTTTATCAAGTGAATGTTACACTGAGAAAAAAAAGTGTATTGAGTAGAATATATGGCTGTCTAATAAACACTTATAATTTTCATGAAACAAATGATCATTTCAAGAGAACAATTTTCTTGGTAAAAACTGTCACTGGCAAAACTAAATAATTTCGGGGGGGGGGGGGGGGGGGGTTTGGGGGAAAAAATTCTCTTCTCGTCAATTCACAGGGAATATTTCGCAGGAAAAACCAATAGCTTTCTATCTTTTTATACAATGTGTTCTGTTGAAATGCTTCCATAAAAATTTTTGGGCACAGATTTTTTCAGTTTTTCAATTCAAATCTCATAGGGCAAGAAAAAAAAATTAAATTTGTAAAGTTTTTTTTTAAATATTAATATAGCTAAGAGATTGAATTGGAAAATCGACATGATTAGATGTTTTTTCATCTAATATTTTTCACACTTTTGCACAATTGCATAAAATCTATGCAATTTTCTAGATTAGGAATCGAAAAGAACAACGAATTCAATAAATTTTTACATGAATTTTAATAGAAGTCAAATAGAATTTCGATACGTCGTGAATTGGTAAACTAGGATGAGTGCATTATTTTTTTGAAAAAAATGTTTTGTCAAATGACTTCCACAAATTGCTGGGAATGCTTGGGAATTGCTTTGTTATTCTTCAAAGCTTGTTCTTTTTATGAAACAAACAGTTTAAAAATTTGTTCAAATTCAGATGAATGAACAAGGCTTGATTTTAAAAGACCGAAAAAATCATTAGTGAGAAGGCAAAACAATATAATTTAATTACACTCAGGTTTTAGTTTCTCCCGAACATTTCGGAATTGAAGGGAGATGCACAATTTTCATAGAAATCTTTTGTGTAAAGCGGAATGATAGCAACAAAAAAGTTGAATATTTTTATCAAAAATTGTCTCTCATCCTCAATTACCCTGTATTCCTCCTTCACTCTTGAATTTTTTATTAAAAAAAAATAGAAAACAAAACTCTGAGGAAAGGTACTTTACGTAAATGTTTTAACTCAAATGTAATAAAAACAAATGTAAATAACCCATATCAGGACCTGTGTAATTTATCTCTCCCTCAAGAGAAACATCAAAACATCGATGTGAAACAGCAAAAACGTGTGTTTTGATCTTCTCTAATTACCGATATCTTTGTTTATAAATGAAAATATTGAAATTTAACGAAGGTCACGAGCCATTTCATTTTGCCCCACCTTCCCCTAAATATTTTGACTCCAATGCAACAAAAACAAATGTAAATAAACCAAATTAGGACCTGTGTAATTCATCTCTCCCTCTTTTTCAGAATAGTTATTTAATGAGACAATCAATTTCGAAAAGTATTGAAAATCAAATGAATAACAAAAGTTTGATTTTAAAAGATCGATTATGCGTGAAAATGCAAAACTCATTTAATTGCATTCAGGTTTTAGTTTCCCCTAAATTTTTCAGCATTGCAGAATGAGCGCAAAATTTTCATAGACACCTTCTTTTCTACATCAGAATGAGAACAGCAAAAACTTAAAATATATTTATTAAAAACTTTCCCTCATCCTCAATTATCCCATTTTCCTCCCTTCCCTCCTCAATTTTTTATAAAAAAATAGGATAAAAACGCAGGGAAGAGGGACTTTACGTAAATGTTTTTACTTCAATGGAATGAAAACAAATGTAAATAAACTAAATCAGGACCTGTGTAATTCATCTCTCCTTATTTTTCAGAATAGTTATTTTATGAGACAAACAATTTCGAAAAGTGTGAAAAATCAGATGAAAGACGAAGGTTTGATTTTTAAATACCGAACAAATTATGAGTGAAAAGGCAAAACAGGATAATTTAATTGCACTGAGGTTTTCGTTCCTCCTAAATTTTTCAGAATTGCAGAATGAGAGCAAAATTTTCATAGAAACCTTTTTTGTAATCAGAATGAGAACAACAAAAAAGTGAAGTATATTTATTAAAAACTGTCCCTCGTCCTCAACTATTCCATTTTGCTCCCTTCCCTCCTCAATTTTTTGTAAAAAAAAAGGATAAAAACTCTGGGAAAAGGTACTTTACGTAAATGTTTTTACTTCAATGGAATAAAAACAAATGTAAATAAACTAAATCAGGACCTGTGTAATTCATCTCTCCTTATTTTTCAGAAAAGTTATTTTATGAGACAATCAATTTCGAAAAGTGTTAAAAATCAGATGAAAGACGAATGTTTGATTTTTAAATATCGAACAAATTATGAGTGAAAAGGTAAAACACGATAATTTAATTGCACTGAGGTTTTAGTTCCTCCTAAATTTTTCAGAATTGCAGAATGAGAGCAAAATTTTCATAGAAACCTTTTTTGTACATCAGAATGAGAACAACAAAAAAGTTGAGTATATTTATTGAAATTGTCCCTCAATTTAAAAAAAACTCTGGGAAGAGGTGCTTTACGTAAATATTTCCACTCCAATGCCCCAAAACCAAATATAAATACCAATTGCCCCTCTCCAAAATTCACCAATTACGCGCTTATTGATTGTTATGTTTACATGTGTTCACTACGCACCTCTTTCACTAACCTTTCCGTCACCTGCTCCAAAACCTCTCGACCACCCCAAAAAAATCCCCACTATCTTCATCCCCCCCTCATTCACAAACGCCTAATCAAATACGCGTAGACAATTTTCGTCCAACTCTTCAACTTCATTCATAAATACGAATTACTCCAAAAGAACATAATATTGACATTGAATTCCGGGAATCCGCCATCTGTCGTCAGCCCGGACAGTGCTATTTTCGGCCATATTGGAACGACGCGACCCCAGAAGGTCCCAGCGCCGCACACAGAATGCTCTGTCCCCTCACACGATTTCGGTTTCAATTTATTTCTCCCTTTCTTTATTAAAACAATCATCACCTAAACCTCCACCGTCATTAGGATATTTAATTCAATAACTTTACCATGAATGAAGTGATGAGAAAAAGTGATCAGTGTGGCAGAGAAATATCGACTAAATCGTGCTGTTTGGATTGAGTTTTTCGTGCAGTTGTGATTTTTAGGTTAAGACGCAACCTTGGCGTTGCGTGGTGGCGGGCTGTGTTGGGGTGCACGCATGATAGCGTTGCTCACCTTGTTTATTGTAACGATAAGATGAATTTCACTGAAGTTCACGGGATTCAGGGACTGCCACAATTTTCGGAATTAACGTCAAGGCCAAATTCAGTATCTAGTTCGGGTTATACGGGGAGTTTGGGACATCAGAGTGGAGGACAAAATAGTGTTTATACGACTGCTGCTGGATCTGAGCATGGAAAGCAAAATTCATTGGTAAGAATTGGAGTTTATGAGATGAGAGAGCTTTTTTAAATCGACGCCTTTGGAGTAGATGAGTCTCGACATTTTTATGAGGATTTTTTTCAGAGTACGAAAAGGACTAAAAATGGTCCACTACCTTTTTTGATTTTGCTATCCCGTTAAATTTCATGAATTCCTCAAAAACTAGTTCAAAGTGGAATTGATTCAATTCGATTTAGGAGGGAAGAAATCATGAAATTTGAAATTTTACAGAAAATTTAAGGTATATTCCTAGAAAACAGTTTTTTCTTACGATTCTGCCTATGTTTTTCATAGATAATGGTTATACTATTTCCCAGCTATTGAAAAAAATTTTAAGTAGCTGTATTACACAGTTTAGGAGGTAATAAATAAGGAAAGGCAGGCTTTAGCTTTTCCATCTTATGAGAAAACAGTTCGTTCGATGTTCTTAAAAAACAAATCGGTGGTAGAATGATAAATTCAGAATACAGTGAATTTTTTTGAAGATTCAACTCTAAAAAATGGAAATTTCGTGAAATAATTTCTTGCTTGATTCAAATAGTTCTTGTTGCTTTCATCAACAACCTATGAGGATAAAAAAACTCAATAACTGATGAGAATGCAATGAATTAAATCACTTAGAATTTTTTCCGGAAATCCATAGGGAGTAACATTTGGGTGGTATTGTATTGGGATATACCTTAAATTTTGGGAACCGTTTTTCAAACCACATTTTGGGTCCTTAGCACATTACGAAATTTTCACAATCTATAACTGACTAAGGAAGTACCTCAGTGGAATAAAAACATTTTTGAACTGCAGGGAGACGAGAATCTTACTTGAATTTCCACATTGGGGTAGATGATTGTGAACATTTTTATGATGATTTTTTTCAGAGCAGGAAAAGGACTAAAAATGGGCCACTATCTCTTTTTATTTTGTTATCACCCTTCAATTTCCATGTACTCCTCAAAAACTAGTTCAACGTGCAATTGGTTCAATTCGATCTTACGGATATATTTTTAGAGAAAAATCGAAATTCGATGAACAGTTGAACTCAAGATGCATTGAAAATTCAAGTAAACAGGAAAATTCTCCTCTCTCAGCTGCTCAAAATTTTGAAATTTGATTGAATTTTCATTGCTGTTTCAAATGTCACGATTTTTTCCCCCCATATATCTCGAACATGCACTGAGAAAAAAAATGTCTTTTGAATTCAATTAAATCACGCGGAATCTTTAATTAATTAAAAATCCAAGAAGATATTTACCTAAATTTCCTGAATTCTATTAATTTTCATGGGATAATTTAACTAAAATCCTCAGTTTCCATTATTTTTCCCGAAATTTCGAATTTTCAATTACGAAATTGATTAAAATTTCAGTGGTAAATCCTTTCTGAAATACGAAATGATTGTTTCACAGACAAACGGAGCAAACAAATACGCAGGATCCCTCCTGCCGTGGCCTAACCCAAACGCCCTAATGCAATTGTGCGAGAAACAAGGCCTTCAACCCCTGAACATCCCGAACTACAGTCAGAATAATTCTCTGCTGGGTGGTCAGTCCAGTGTCAACAGTCTGCGGCTCCTTCCAAACATGTACCTCCCCCCGACCTCGCAGCCAGACTCTCCCACAGTTAAACAAGAGGACATGAGGAGCAGTGAGGACTCAGGGAACCCGATTAACGACTCCTCAGCTCACATTCAGCAGCAGAGCGCAGCAATGGCTGAATACCTGCAGAAGCTCCAGGCCACAACATTACCCCTGACCCTGCAGCAGCTGATTAAACTCCAGGGTGATCCTGTTAAACGTGAGGAGTACAAGGAGGAGAAGTCTGATAACCCCCAGAACAATATCCTCAACATCCCAAGTGTGCCAAATTTTAGAAATAATAGCTCTCAGAACGGCAACTACATGAACTCCGATCAGATGATGCCGGAGATCAATCCCATCGATCTGAATGTACATATAGATGAGCATGAGACTACCCAGGGCACCCAGCAGAGTGTTCCTCAAGGACAGAATGTCAAGGTGGAGCAGCAGGTGCAGACGGATTCCCCGAAGGTCGAGAAGAAGATGAAATTCAGGGCGAAAGTGGGGGAGATTAAGATTGCCATGGCACTCGATGGCTCCATGCTCTATTGCTGTCCTGAATGCACACTGGCGTTTGCTGAGAAAGCGGAAATTGAACAGCATATTCAGGGACATGTGCAGGTATAATTTTAGTTTGATTTTTACAAGTGGTTTAGAAAAATTGGAGATTGAGGGAAGCAAATTTTAGTTTGTTAATATCGCGGAAAAACTCGTGGTTTTAGGGAAAGCTAGGGAAAGGACTAGAGAAATTTAAACAAGGTTCACTTTTAACTCGTGGAGATTTACGTAAAAAAAATTCTTGTCTATTCCTTCAAATCTGTTAGTTTTAGAGATTTTGGGGAAATTGAAGAATTGAGAAGATCAGTTGTTTAAGCAATATTGCAGAAAATTAATGGGTTCAGGGAAAATTAGAGAAGTACTTGTGAAATTGAAAAATGTTTTTTTCGCTAATTTATGGAGAATTGGATGGAAAAAAATTATTGCTAATGCCTTTGGGTCAGTTTTCTGTACAGGCTCTTGAAAGATAATTACAATTTTTTTCATTTGTCTCCAGAATTGAAAATTCGAATGGGTTTTTATTAATAGAAGAGCGGGAGGTCAAATTACTCGAGCTTGAGAGAATAAAATTGAAAAATTAAAGGCTTTATAATAAAATGCAATGTCTATGAATCGTATACGTGAGTCAGCGGCTATTAATGATTTTATGTGATTTATTTCACCTCGTATTTTAAATATCTGGGAAATAATTTTTGTTTTGGAAACAACGGCAAAAGGTTTTTTTTGAGTTCATAAAATGTTACATGAAGATAATTTCGTGGTAAAACCCTCTGGATTTATTAGTAAATTATTAGAAATATATTTAAGAGATATTTTTTTAAGACAATCTGCACATTTTGTTAGAATTCATATTCCTATGAAAGACTTTGATCCAGAATATTTTGTATATATCTTTTAAATTAATGAATATCAATAATTGCATTAGGAGATTTACTTGGATAGAATTTACTTCACTATAACATAAGATGTTTTATCAGATCTTTTAGGTCAAAACCTACTGTTTCACTTTCAATTTTTCTGTTATCAAAATTTTCGTCCTGTTTTTCTAGCATTGTAACTAATTAATTCATTCATATTATTATTTCCAGGAGCGAAAATATCAGTGCAAAGAATGCGGCGCAATGTTGAAGAGAAAAGAGCATCTGGATCAACACATGAGAGGCCACTCAGACGAGAGGCCCTTCAAATGTCCAGTGTGTCAAAAGGCATTCAAACGAAATGAACACTTGACCAGGCACTACGTAATTCACTCTGGTGACAAGAACTTCACCTGCACAGTCTGTCAAAAAGCCTTTTCCCGAAAGGACCATCTGAACAAGCACACACAGACCCACCTGGGCATCAGGAAATCCAAATCCAAGAAGGAGTCGAGTCTCCCTGATACCTCCAAAGACAATGCCGACACGATAATGGACATTCCCAAGCAAGAGCTCAGCTTCTTATTGAAAGATGGAAATTTCATGAAGCAAGACACAACATTCCTACAGCACATACAAAACCTACAGAAGGATCAACATTTCATTCATACGTACTCTGCCTTCAAGGAGCAAATGAAGGAGGGAATACATCAGCAACAGGCTGTTAATATGAACGAAATATTGCCCCAGAATACGAGGTATCTGATGCCATCTTAGTTTTAGTTGAGAATGATTGTAATTATGTAAGCGAAAGGTTTTCATTTCTGTATTAAACTGGCAAAACGTGATATCCAACGACTTATCACATTATTCTAATTATGGATTTATTTTCGGGAAGAGTGACTTGAAGGGGAATTATTGAAAAACATTTTTTGTGGATTTTCTCAGCTACAAAAATGAGCTTTTGACATTTTCTCTTTTTTATCCAGTTTTGTTCAACTTCTTACGTTTTACCATTTTCGTACAGATTTTAATTAACTTATTGGATGGTTTTGGAATTGAAAAATACTTAAAACGTTTCGAAAAGACTCGATAGAATAGTAATAAGAGGTTAATTTCTGTATTAAACGCAAAGGGTGGTATGTTGGCAAATCACACTCTTCATTATGGATTTATCTCCGGAACGAGAGTTGCAAAGGGAAATTATTCACAGACATTTTTCGCGGGGAATTTTCACAGCTGCAAAAATAATCTCTTGGCATTTTCTCTTTTTTTTTCTTTAGTTTCATTAAACTTCTTACGTTTCATCATTTTTGTACCGATTTTAACTAAAACATTTATTAAAACGTTTTGCAAGTAAAAAAATACTTGAAACGTTTGAATGAAGTGACAAAAAATCAACTGAATATGAATCAGAGTTTCATTTCTGTATTAAACTGGCAAAACGTGATATATTGGCAAATCATATTCTTCATTATGGATTTATCTCCAGAACGAGAGTTGCAAAAAGAAATTGTTTACAGACATTTTTCGCGGGGGATTTTGACAGCTGCGAAACTAATCTCTTGGCATTTTCTCCTTTTTTTCTTTAGTTTCGTCAACTTCTTACGTTTCATCATTTTTGTACAAATTTTAAAAATACTTAAAACATTTGAATGAGTTAACAAACACTCAACAGAATAAGCATAAAAGTTTAATTTCTCTATTAACCTAGAAAAATGGATATGTTGGGTAATCACACCCTGAATTATGGATTTGCCTCCAGAACGAGAGTTGCGAAGGGAAATTATTCATACATTTTTCACGGGGAATTTTCACGGCTGCGAAAATAATCTCTTGACATTTTTTCCTTTTTTTTCTTTGGGTTTCAACTTCTTACATTTCATTTTTGTACAAATTTTCATTGAAAACTTATTGGAACATTTTGTAATTAAAAAAAACAAACGTTTGAATGAGGCAACAAAGACTCACCAGAATAAGACTAAGAGTTTCAATTGAACTGAATCGATGGTTGATGCTCCTAAAATAATAGAACAAACAAGAAAACCACTCGACTGGTTTTTTTTCCAATGGTAATGAGTGCATAGAGAATTGTCGGATTAGTTTTAACCTCTCGCATAGTACTAATAGGATATCAACTAAGTTTAGAAATTTGCCTTAATCAAGAATCAACTGTTTTTTAAGTTCCTCGGAGTAATGAATCTCTGATACGATAGATGAAAATGACTGCGTGATTATCGTGAGGGGCTGTGAATCAGCTACGTGTTCGATTGATTTCATTAATCGCTCAAGCAGAACATTCAATGTGCCAGTAATTAGTACGTATCGGTGATGATGTTTTTTTTAAGCGACTAGTTCTACCCATTCACACAATCAGTAATTTCTCCCCCAAAAAATTGTGGATTTAATGGTTTTTATTGATTAAAGAAACGACTGTCTGGACACATCACGTGAATAGGTCATTGGTAGACTAGCTTTAAAACATTTATCAATTATTTTTTATCATTACTTCTAGTCTGCTAGTCGCAAGAGTGAAATTAATGTTGTGAATGAATTTGTGAGATTAGTAATTTTCGTGTAATCGTGATTAGGCAGAGGTGTACTTAGAGGAACGAATATGCGAACAAATTTTTTTATTCCGAAACTTTTTTACTTGTATTTTTGGAGAATTGGGGTTTTGTATTTTTTTTATAGTGGAATATGGAAATTCAATTGCAGATTTTAGATACATTCTGGTTTTTTATTTGGAAGAATGACAGATTCATGATTTACAGGCAATTAAAAATATGTTTATTATGGTCGCGTATTTTTGCAAATTGTCTGTGACTTCTTGATTCTTCGAAATTAGCAAACCTTTAACTTTTCTTATTTCCCTGTTTTATTCTATAATTTGTTGTCTTATAAATGGTGCATAATTCTTCATTTACAATAAAAAAATATCGGAATTATGATTTCATAATCTCAGTTATTCTCATTGCCTACAATTTTTTGAGTTTTTATGAATTTCAAAACAACAAAATTGCAAATATTTTCATGGAATTCTCGTATTTCATTGTTGTATACAATATAACATCTAATATTTTTCAATCCAATTTTCGTATTCCATCATTTCATCAACAAAAAATCATGCAAAAACCTAATTATCACAAATAATTGATTACAGGTAGTTGAAAATTAATTGTAAATATAAAAATTCGAAAATGGAGATAAATAAGGGAGAAATATTCTCATCTGATCACTCATTTTGTACTAAAAGAATTGGAAAATCATATAATTGTCAATGAAATTTTCCATTAGAGTTAGAAATCCCAGTGGAATAACTTCCAGATTGAATCGAGATGATGAATATTTTGAAAAGGAATTCAAACAAAAATGATGTATTATTTTATTACAAAAATTTGTCCAGTGTAACATTTTCATACACTCGATTTAATGATTTCATCTGAAATTCCATATCATAAAGGTGAACGAGTGAATTTTCCTTTTCGAGGGGCTATAAACTGCTTGTAGGCTCATTTCGATGAAATAATGCGCCTTAATAACGTCCTAAGGAATATCGCACGCGATAGAACCAAAGACTCTGCTCATATTAACACCAGTATTTGTATCTTCAATCTTCCAATTCTCCAGTTATCCTCCAGACTTATGAATAATTCATTAACAATTAGTTTGAATTTTCCAGATGAACAAGATAAAAATGCAATGCGTACACCTTTAGGTAAATTTGAATACTAAAAAACAATTCAATATCTAGGATAATAACAAATTGTTATGTATAATACGCCGATTGCCAAAAAAAAGGGGAAAACGAGTTAAGTGTAAGAGCGAGATGATAAATTACATGTATTTTTCAGACCGAAATATTTTTTAATAAAATAAATGTAGTAAGAAAACATAAACATTGGCTGTTCTTTAATCCATGAATTACGTATGTAAATGGGACTTTAAACTGATGACCTTGGGATTCGTTTGAGCAATGGAGCAAATTGTGAAATGATGTTTACTTCGTAACACCTCGGTTGCCAGGCACTTCACGTGGGAATTGTGCGAAGCATCATGCATACTGAGAACTCATTTACAACACAATGGCAATGGGTTTATTCGTCGTCCTGTACGTAATGTTATTTCGGTAATATGTTTCGGGGTAGCCAAATTGGGGGTATTGATAAGTTTTATGAGGTTAGACAGACGGGTAAATTTCAAAGGTGAAATTTGAAATAGTCGTTTTAAGGATATCCAAGTACTTTGGCTATTTTTTCTCCAGTTCAAATGCTTTTATACTTTTGTAGCTGAATATCAGAGATTTCCTTTGAGTCCCATTTGACCTCAAGTTTGCGGACATTTTACAATGATTTTTTGCTTCTGAATGGACGCTGTGTAATCGGTCAGTTTTTCGATTGTCTAATTTTGCTTGGAAATTACTTAGAATGTCATGAAACGTCGAAATATGATATTTTTAGAGAATATCTGTGTGTACGTTCGTATGCGCGTACAAAATTCTGGGAACACCGAGGTAAACCGGGCGCGCTGTTGCCACCTTGGCCCTTACTGCTATGTGCGCATCTCATGTGTGACAGTGAATGTAGCAACACTGTCGCTCGAGCGGTCGACAGAGACTCACTCGCATCGGTTGGCGCGGCGTCGCTTTTCTATCTGTTCGACGTTTCTTTTCTCCTCTTATCTAAACAAATTTTCCAAGAAGAAAATGGACAACGCCAACGCTTAATAAAAGGATTGAACTAAGAACTCTATTTTTTTCAGAATTTTTAAACGTCGAGAAACATTCTAAAATCCTTTATAGAAAAATCCGTGTCTGTAACCAAGGTTTATACTTTGGTTTCTATGCTCAAGTGCTTCTTCCTTATTCATGAACCAGGCATGAAATGTACTCGTTTTAAAGCTTATTAAAGAAGCTTCAATTTGACACCTGATTTACCTAATTCTGTCAATTTTTCTTTAACTTATGAGAGTTTTAGGAGAAAATTAAATTTTTATGTTTCACTTGGTAAATTAATTTAGTTGGATTTTTTGATGATCCTAACTGGACTAGACTTGTATATCTACATATCATTTTGAAGCGAATTTACTAGTCTTCAAAATGGTGTATGATAAGTTCGATTTAATTCAATTCTCAGTAAGTTATTGTAGATTGTTTCCATTTTTTACGTTATGTCACACCTCGGAAATGACAGTTCTTGCTATTTATTGAGGGTTTAGACTTGACCAGCGGGGATATATCATATGTCAATTTGAAGGTCTCATCGAGTTCTTCAAATTAAGATCCCATATTATCTATTCCATCCACCACATCAATTGTTATAAGCGATAATGTCACGATTTTAACATCTTATATTTAGAAAATTTCCATATTTTTCCTTCTAATGACGAGATTTGCGAGGTTTCTGTTCAAATCTGTGGAGATATCTTATGTACCGACCAATCGCGTACTAGTGCGTAATTTTTTCTTTAATCCATTGAATATGATTAAGATTTATGGAAAATGCATTTTTTCATCAATTTAAAGGCCGGGAACCCTCTGCAATAAGACTGTGGGGTGATTTCCGTAAAATTTTCATTATCATTCAGTAATAATGACTCAATATATTTGAGAGAGATATAATATTTGAAATTTCTGCAACAAATTGTCACGCAATACCTCAATAAATATTCAAGGATATCGGATGTAGAGAGATCGATATCGATCTACTTTTACCAGTATCCGCGCCTTGGGGAACCATTGCGCCCTCTATAATTGACTCAAAATTACATTTTTACGATCTTTGAATATTACGGGCTTGAGTAAGAAAAATAATAGAAACTACACTGAAAGAAAAACAAACAGTTACAGTTTCCACAGATTTCATAAAATTTGAATTTTAAATGAAGAAGTTTCATGAAAAATCAGTGCAACAATAATGTGATAATTTTTTTCAAAAAAATTTTCAAGAAGCTCATCGGAAATTTCAGCCATGAAATTTTAACACTGTTATTAACGCTGAAATGCAATAACTAATTAAAATGAAATGATTGAATTAAGTAGCCCTTTAATTGTTATCACTTGCAATAATGAATCAATAACAATTAATAATTAATTGTTATTTTATGGAGCACCAGTTGAATTAGTGATTTTGAGATAGGCCCCATGAGTGAACCCAATAATCGAACTCAGCCATCGTAAAAATGCCCTCGCGACAGCAGCGGATAGTTCAAAGCTCGTTTGAGGGTTCACAGTGTCCCCGGGCCTGTCAATATCATCGTCATTATCATTGAGTAATTCCAATTCACTGAGGGGCTCTACAGTCTCCACCTCATCGGCCCAATCAGTCGCGACTCTGGAGATTGACGACTCCTTCGTTGACATCACCTCATCCCCAAGAAGTTCCACGTACACCGGACTCTCAGTCACTTCTTCTTTTTCACTCGCCGAGTCATCGGTCACATGGGAGTTTGATAAAATGAATTTGTAGGGCTTTGTATCGGTCTCCTTCGGCTTATCACTGGATAGGATCTTTCCCACGTTGCTCACGTTTTCGGGCTTGTGGAATACGAAGTCGTAGGTTGCACGAAGTTTTCCCAGGAATTTGTCCAGGGGTTTAATGTCACTCGTGCGACGCTTGAAAGCTATCCAATCTTCGACCGGTGCAAATTTTGTTATTTGGGGTGAGGCTTCCAATTCAATTTGAAAGATCTGGAAGGAATATGTATGCTGTTACACGGATAGAAAAATCAGACGAAAAATCACTGTAAAATATAAGGAACTGGAAAGCTGAATTGTATTTTGGAGGGTTTTGATTCGAAATCAAGAGGAATAAGTGGAAAATTATTTTCGTTACAATGTGGTCAATATATTTTTGCTAATAAATTAGCAATTTGTTTTCGAATGGAAGTTCTATGAGGATGTTGTTTAAATTTGATTCAATGATTTATTGCCCCAACGTTGGCAGCCAACATTGGTCCAGCGTCAGCAGCCAAGATTGCTCCGACGTTGACAGCCAACATTGCCCCAACGTTGGCAGTTAGCATCGCCCCGTGGTTAACAGCCAACATTAACTCAACGTTGAGAGCCAATATTAATTCAACGTTGACAGTCAATATTGCCCCAACGTTTCATTTTACCTACGAGAAATGTCTCTTTATATTTTCCTCTAAAACTCTTCATCATCGTAATAATTCCGCACAAGTGCGTTTCTATCATGTCCAAATTCACTGCTGAAAAAAATACACTAATGAAAATAACTTCAAATCAACAAATGAAATCCAATCAATAGCCACTTACGAACAGAGTAAAAACAGCAACAAAAAACAAGAACTCGGTAATTTCGATGGTTCACTGACCTGATTATTCCCAGCATCCAAATCCCCCCGATTATTTTCGATGAACTGAGAGTTCCATGGATTACCCACCAGCTCTTATTGTAATGAAGTCCCGAATAGCGTATAAAATAGTATAGCAATTGCAGAATAATGTATTAAGAGCCATTTTTTGTTCGTCATCCATTCAAATTGTTCATTATCAAAATAATTTCACATCTCATGTGAAAATGTATGCAAAATATATGTAATGTTGAATAAATTACAATTAGTTACGCATAATTTGACTGCTACAAAAAAATCTTGTCAATAACTTCAAACAACAAATGAAATTCAATCAACAACCACTTACGAACGGAGTAAAAACAGCAGCAAAAATATGGAACTCCATAATTTCGATGGTTCACTGAACCGATTTTTCACAGTACGAAATATCCACAACTACAAATACCCCCGATTATTTTCGATCAACTGAGAGTTCCATGGATTGCACACCAGCTCTTATAGTATTGAAACCCCCAATAGCGTATAGTCGCCTCAGTAAACCCACAAATCCCATTTCGATGACCCTCGCACCGCCGGCCCCTCCCGCGCCTCCGTTCAAGCCCAATCTGTTCGTTGAAAAATTGCTCAACCCTCTGAATTCACCTCACGTAGCCCCAGCATTGTTCCCAAATGAAACAACAAAAGTTATTCATCAAATGAATTTATTGTCACATGAAAATACGAAATATGGGGAGAATGAGTGATCACTTGGAATGCATAAACCACAATAATGGCCAGTGAATCATATTTTGAACTTAAGGGGAAGCAGACGTCTGAGGTCACTATTCAAGTTGCTGCCGGGCTCCTTGAGATCCTTGAGTGCCTCTGCTATCTTTGCTTTAGTATCATCCCTGGTGACTTCCTTACGCTCCACGATTTTCTCCAACAGTCGCTGAAGTTGCGGACCAATTCCCCCCTCTGCACTTGTCTCAAGGGTACGCAGTACCTCGTCAGTATAACCAGAGAACTTGACGAAGCCCTGCCTCCTTGCATCTTTACTCAATGCATCGTACAGTATAGCTAATTGCTCGAGGGAACAGCGGAGAGTTATCCTTGCTCGTTTGAGGTAGGCTAATAGACTTGGTCGAGGCACTTGGACTACCTTTTCACCGAGCATCGTGAATCTATAATCGGAAACATCAGCGTGAGAATCCAGCGGAAAAGTTGGAGAAAATGGAGAGGAAAATACATATGTATGAAAACGTTCAATGGAGAAAATAAAATCTCTGTATTATAAAAATCCAAATCGACTTCTGGTGATGAAAATTTGGTAGTCGAAATTAAGACTCCGAAATTAAGGGTCATGAGAGTCAGAATAAAGGCCGCAAGGGTCAAAATAAGGGTCGTGCGGGCCAGATAAGGGCCACAAGGGTCGGATTAAGGGCCCAAATACGAGTAACAAGGGCCAGATTAAGGGTGTAAATAAAAATTTGAAATGACTCAATTCCTTCTGTAAAATAGAAAATGAATGTTAATGAAAAATTAAAATATCCTGATGTTTCATGCCTACACTTTTTTTTACATAAAAAACAAATACTTTTGGTACTTGAAAAAGCAGAGTGTGACCTCCCCGTGACGGAATAATTCATGTAGAAAAATCAACATCTATCGACTTTTTCTATAAAGGAAATAGAATTTTTGCAAGAACTCCGATAGAATTACATAACGAAAGCGCTAGGTTTTTCGATTAAATCGCATGGGACAAATGGATTGATAAAATATTTAGATATAGAGTTTAGATTCGTTCTATACCAGTGATCGGCATCAATCATTATTTTAGAAATATTAAGAGAATTTTTCCTTAAAATAATTGAATTCATTCTTTTATAATTTGAATTTAGAAAATAATAAAATAATTGAGAATTTAAATTTTCAAATAACTAGTAGGTAAATAATTGGAAATTTTCTAAAAATATTAGAGATTATCAAATAATCGTCAATCTTCCGAATTCGATTATTGATTGGTAAAATAATTCGGAATTTGAATATTTAGTTGTTGATTAATTTAATAATTGAAAATTGTTAAGTTCTATTACTTGATTGAGTATTTATGAAATTAATGACCATTGTAATTTATGATTATGCCTATCTCTGTTCTATACTACTTTTAGGGTCACGAGCATGTCTGTAAGTACTCCAAAGACAACAATAAGTTCAACGGAACGCGAGAGCCGGAAGAAAGAGCACAAAGGGGAAAAGTTGAGAGAAAAGAGTGAAAAAGTCCCGGGAACGTTGAGTCAAAAAAGTTGCTACGACGCAAGTTGTGTAGTGAATGAGAGACGTAGGAGTTCTAAAGAATCGACGGAATGTGCAGACTGTTGCGATCACGGTGAAAGATGTTTTTCGCGACTGGCATCGGGAGTTAGTCCTGTGGATGAGGATATAGAGAGCCTGGAGTGGAGGAAATTCAGGGAGAAGAATTACTTTGATACTCATGAGTCTAGTCATGCTATTCTCTTGTATGAATCGACAGAATCACTGGCGCAGTTCGAGTTGAATAGCAGACTCTTTCCCGAGCCCGTGGGACGACGGTTCAAGGACAATATCGTGGTCTCGACGCCAACGTGTGCAACTACCATTTGAAGATGATTCACTACTTTCCTAGGAATATTGTGAGGGAGGACAAGAGGGGAATTTCTAATTGTAGCAAGAAGAGACATAAGAGTTGTCCTCTCACTGGCCATGCTATTGATCTTGGGGTGCTCAAAACTCCTTGTCCAGCTAATAGTCTTGCTCTCAAGTACCAGAAAGGCGTCGTTTAATTTATTTTATCAAGTTGTGAATTCTTTGGGGGGTGGTAAAGCGTCATGAGTCGAATTTCACAATTTTGATGACTGTTGATTTATCTCGAATCGAGTGACTGGAAGAGAGACTGTGTAAAGATCTATCGACATCATCTCCTAGAATTACTCATTCACGAAATCATTCCATATTGAATAAGATGTAGGAAATCGGCTCATACGTTTTAACATTTCATTGCTGAGTGAACTTGAATCCAAGAAACTGTGTGGTTGATAAATATTTTATGGCTAATCAATTTTTATGAGACACCGGAGAGACTGAATATATTCCTCTAACATTGATCAGAGACTGATGTTTTAGGATAAAGCTCGATCCTATCATACTTTTATTTCTTTCTATATTATAAAAATCCAAAGCGACTTCTGATGAATTTAGGGGTCAGAATAAGGGTCACGAGGGTCAGAATAAGGCTCGCAAGGGTCAGAATAACTGTCACGAGAATTAGGTTACACAAGATCACAAGGGTCACAAGGATCACATTAATAGTCCATATAAGGGTCACAAGGTTCAGATTAAGGGTTATGTGGGTCAGATTAAGGGTCGCAAGATTAGCCCTCACAGGAGTCAGATTAAGGGCCCAAATAAGGATAGCAAAGGTCAGATTAAGGGTCACAGGGTCAGAGTGGGGGTCCAAATACGGCACATGGAGAGCAAAAATCAAGGGTCAGCAACTAAGGGTCACCAGAGTTAAAATAAGAGTCACGAGATCAGCTTAAAGGTCACAAGAGTCAAAATAACGATCATGGGGCTCACATGGGGATTGGAGAGCGGAGCGAACAGGGGCCCTAGCCCCCTAGTTTTGTAATAAAATAGAAAAAATAGGTAACGAAAAAATAAATAAAAATAGATTTCCATCCTTTTTAAAACTGTGAATACATCACATCAGAGATTGATAAAAAATATTATTCCATTAATAATATAGAAAAATATGAGAAACTCCCACAGAAGTGGGAAATTATTCTGAATACAATACCAATTTTTTTTTAATTAAAAAATAATTAATTATCCCAATTAATATTCACTGTGATGTCATAAATTAACAATAAGATAGTTATCCCAATGTGCTTATAACTGCATCACATTCATGTCTCGAAGACATTCAGTCCATGAAAATCCCTCGTTATTGAAATACTTCCATATTCAACAAGACTTGAAATCGATTTATTCTCACAGAATAGTTTCTCACCTATCCTCGTCATACTCCTCTCCCTCATTCTCTTCACTGTCATCATTACTGCCCCTGCCTTCGCTGGATTCCTTTGACTCTGAAGAATCCTTGCTCTTATTCTCCTTGACAATTCCGTAAATTTCCTGCACTACGCTGTCGATAGTCGGCTCTCTCCTCTTGCTCCCCTCCCCTTTGCCCTTATCTTTGCTCTTTTCTTTACCCCCCTCCGACGATTCCTCCGAAGGTGAACTAGCTGGTGCCGGGGAAGTTTTCGATGCGCTAACGGGGGAGGTGGGGTTTTCTTGAGGATTCGGAGTAGCTGAGTCCTCTTGGTTGGCCTCCTGAATTTCTTGGGAGGCTTCTGGGGTCTCGTGGTTGGTCTCTGGGGTACCGTAAACTGCCTCTGGGGTTTCCTCACTCAATTCCGGCTTCTGCTCGATCACCGGAGTACTAGGGGTGATTATTGGAGATGGTTCTGCGATTATTGCCGCTTGGAGGGGCTTCTCGAGGGGTTTCTCTGTCTGTGTCAGTACGAGCACAGTTGGGATCGGCGTCGGGGACACTGGGGTCGGCTGGTGCTGTCCTGGAGCATGCGGAATCGTTGTAGGAAGGGTCGTTGAAGATCCCAGTTCACCCTGTTCCGGCGGGAAATTCCTTATCTGATCTACGGCGTAGAAGATTACCTGCGGAAATGAAAAAAAATTTAATGTACTTCGTGATTCCGATAATCTTTAGTCTGTTAAAAAAAAATTATAATCAAATACGGGATTTTGGCCCTTGTAACCTTGCTGTACCCTAAGACCCTTATGGCCCTTATGACCCTAAAGACCTCAAGGTCCGCAGGGGCACAAAGGTCACCTCTGTTAGCCCTTCTTGTAACATCAAATAAACTTATAATCAAATAAGGGATTTTGGCCCTCTTGACCCTTGTAACCTTGCTGCACCCTGCGGCGTTCATGCCCCTTATGACCCTCAACATCCCAAGGGTCCGCAGGGACACAAAGGTCAACTCCGTTGCCCCTTCTTGTAACATCAAATAGACTTATAATCAAATAAGGGATTTTGACCTTCTTGACCCTTGTAACCTTGTTGTACCCTAAGATCCTTATCGCCCTTATGCCCCTAAAGACCGCAAGGGTCCGCGGGGGCACAATGGTCACCTCTGTTACCCCTTCTTCTAACATCAAATAGATTAATAATCAAATAAGGGATTTTGACCCTCTTGACCCTTGTAACCTTGCTGTACCCTGTGAACCTTATGACCCTAAAGACCCCAAGGGTCCGCAGGGGTTCAAAATCACCTCTGTTACACCTTCTTGTGACATCAAATAAACTTATAATCAAAGAAGGGATTTTGACCCAATTGACCCTCGTAACCTTTCTGTACCCTGAGGCCCTTATCTCTTCATGGTGGAAAATTCTCAGATAACGGAAAAACTAGCTGTGTGTTTGGGAATTGAATGGTCTGGAGGAGGAGAAATTTCAATATTAATGCAGGCGGTTGGAAAAATAATTCAGCTGGAATTATAAGATGATTATGCTACATATGACCTTGAATAAACAATTTTCATTATTTTTCAATTTTTTCAAATTTTAGATTTTTTGACGTAAAATAATTTGGAATAATTCTAAATGTTAATAATTGTCAGTGGAGTTCATTCAAGGTCATATACAGCGTAAACATCCCATAATTCAACTAATTATAATATTTAAAGATGGAGTGGACCACCTGGGAATGAGTGGTAGGGAGAAATACAAGTTCCCCGAGAAAAATTTATTTCTTTAGTTCTAAAGAAATAAATTTTTCTCCCAAGAAAATGATCCCTTGGGAAATGTAATTTTTTTCTCAGTGTCATGTCAATTAATCATTAATATTTCAGATGTTTCAAATAAAATCCACAGCAATCTATGAATTCTTTGCGTTTATTTTCTACGGTTTTTCAATCGTAAATAAGTTATGTTCCCATTCCACTCTCCTCCATTCCACCCTGTTATTGGATTTCTCTAAGTCCAGAGAATCTTCGAAGAATACACCATAAATTTCATTTCAGATGTTTTCGCTATCATATTTTTTTCTGATATCGGAAATTCTTCACCGAAGAAATTTCGAAGATGGAATGAGGGGGAATTGAATTTTTCTCCGAGTTGCAATATCTCGAAGTTTGTGAGAAACGATCACGTCAATTTTTTCATCTCCTTGACATTTATCTTCGTTGAAGTTGTTCACGGTAAAAAAAAGTTTCAATTTTCAATACCCTCGGTTTCCAGGGACTCGAACTGATGTTCTCCTCAAAATATGGAATTTTCTCGTGGAAATCTGGAGAAAAAATCCCTAAAAATCGGGATAAAAAATTCACTGAAACTTAATAACAAAATAATCCCATCTAATAGTAGAGGGGTCTGGTATATATCAGTGAAATTATCTGAAATTGAATAGAAAATTTACTGAAAAGCAGAACTGTTTGTTTAATTTTCAGGATCATATCACTGAAAAAACCACTAAAATTATGGACAAACCACTTGTTTTAACACCCTAAGGACTCATTTCTAAATAACGCCGAATTAAATAAACCTTATTGGGATCAAATAAATGGATTTATTTAATCATTATTGTTATTATTGATTGCTGTTTCTGAAGGCACGGCCTTATAACTGATAAAAAAACATAAATTAGTATCTAGAAAGCAAAGCTATGTCCACAAAAAATATAATACGATAACAAGTAAAAAAACGGGGGTTTGTTAGGTCGTCTGTAAATAGCACGTGGTAAAGTTCTCATTTAAAAGTAAAATTCAATTTTATTTTTTGTATATATCTTCCGCAGTCACTCATGTTAAGTAGAAAATATTGTATAGAAAAAGTCAATAGAATTAGATTTTTCTATACAAGTTATTCTCTTAAGATATTTTCTATAGAATTTCTTCGGCTCAAATTTTTCAATTTTCTTTGATTGTTTTTCTTGATGAGACGGAAACAAAAATAGAATGAAAAAAGCTTAGATAATTTGGGATAAGGAAATTCTATAGAAAATGTCTGAAGAGTCTAAGATGCTTGATGAAATGAAACGAAAAATAGAATGAAAAAACTGGGAAATTTGAGTCGAGAAAATTCTACAGAAAAAATCTCGATAGAATAAGTTGTACAGAAAAATCGAGTTTTATTTTTTTTCTATTAAATATTTTCTATTGACCATTTCAATAGAATCAGTCAAAAACTAATCAAAAATTCAAGAGAAATCCGATAGAATTATGTAACGAATTCGCTAGGATTTTCTATTAATTTTTTCCGTCTGCACAGTATTAAAATGAACCAAAAAAATGTTAATGAAGAATTTTAATTTTAATTTTAATTAAGAATTTTAATGGTGCATTCAATTCAAATGCACAATTTTTGTGGGTGTAGGATGTTTTTCTGAAAACTATTCTATTCTCTACTTAAGCAGATCTGCTTAAGTAGAGAATAGAATAGTAGAGTGTAGAATAGTAGAATTGTAGAGTGTCCGGCAGAACGTGGAGCGCTTTATCTCTTTTTTCCCCCGGAGATGTGTGTCTGACATGACAATTTTCTTCTGAACTGACGTCCTCTCAGGATGTAAAAGGGGAAATTGAATTTTCTTTCGCGTCAGCAATACGTCGAACTTTATTGAGCATAACCTGAAAGAAATTTCTTCAATTTTCATGTTTACGTTCGATCTTTCAGATGGCGAAATTTTCCGATGCATTGAATTTTTCTTTTCCTCCCAGGACAATCATGAACGTAACATCACTGTCAAAAAATATTGTTCGAGCCATGTGAGACGGAAATTTTCCGCTCGTGTGATCGACAACCCTTGATTTCGAAGTATTTCCAAATGGCGGCGATCACACTTCGCGTGAAATCGCCGAGTTTACACTTCGTGTTAAATTGTGAAGTTTATACTTCGCGTTAAATCACGAAGTTCGCACTTCACATTAAATCGGGAATTTCACACTTCGCGTTAAATAGCGAAGTTCACACTTCGCGTTAAATCACGACGTTAACATCATTGTGGGTAGTCGTAATTAAGTTGAAATTGAAGTTTAAACTTGTTTCAAGGAGGGAGACGGTGGGAACCACAATCGTATGGGGCATTTCCAAATGCCGGCAATCTTTGCGAGAAATCGCGAAGTCAACACTTTGCGAGAAATCGCGAAGTTAACACTTTGCGTTGAATCGCGATGTTCACATGATTGTGGGTAGTCGTAATTAAGTTGAAATTGAAGTTTTTTTGCTCGGACCGTCAACTTTACGTTTATGATAATTCCGTCTCACTCGTATCGAAATATACTATTTTGTCAGAATGGCCCCAGGTCGGAACTCACGGACGCGTAGCGTCCGTGACAAAAAAAAATCGTTCCAGAGAAATCGTTGGGCATACTGTTCCTCGCATACGCACACACGCATAGACCGACACAAGAACATCCTTCTAAAAACTTCATAGAAAGTTTCTAAAGGGCCTGAAACATAAAGATCTCATGAAATTTCCAACTACCCGATATTCATCGGCAAGTTAAAAAGAAATTCAGGATATCCTGACGCTTACTCAGCCCCCCGACCCTTCAATTGAATCAAGTCTCCTCAATGATATTGAATAAATTACCTGCATTGCAGCCGGCAAATACGAGTTGGAATAAATGGGTTTGGAGTACTGCGGCTGCTTCCTAGTGATTTCAGCATTCACCTAAACAAAAGAATAATTCATACTCATCATTGAATACGTCGATAATACCCATCGTTCCATTACTAACTTCATAGACCCAATGGCTTTAATGGCTTTAAACCATTGACCCAGTTGGGAGACTATGAAATTCGCTCAGTTAGCTATGGAAAAGGGAGGTGGGCAAGTGTCGAACAACGAGGGGGTACTAATTGCAATTGGCAATGTGCCCTTGGGACATCGAAAATGTACGGAGCCTCCTGGGAGTACCTAATGGATCAATAATTTGACTGCGACTTAATTCTACTTATTCGTCAATTAACACTTCTTTTTTGAGGAGTGGCTGTAGGTACAAGCGAGGAGCGAAGGGAATTCTTAATGCAATTGGAACATGTACATCGCATCCAGTTCGTTGAATTAAACAACACGCATTCGAGTTTAAGAAGTGAGAAATCAATTAAATCGAAGCAATTTTTTAATTTTGTCGAATATTTAAATTTCTTTGCTATTCAAATTTTTATTACGGTACTTTACTTTCGTTAATCTATATGGTATGAAACTAAGGGATGAGAAGATATTAATCCATATCCTGAATTCAAACACTCTCAACAGTGCCAGAAATTTCTAGTGTTTTCTCAAGAAAAATTTTGAAGTAGAGCAACAGAAATTTTATAGAAACCTTCATATGGAATAAATTTTTGCATTTAATAATTTTCTTTTGTTTTTTGCTTTTGCTCTAGAGTTTTTTTGTTTCCTTTCTTGGCGATTAAGGGCTTTGGAATTCTTTTTGAGGAGCGCCTGTAGGTTCAAACGAGGAGCGAAGGGAATTCTTAATGCGATTGGAACATGTACGTCACGTAGAGTCCGTTAAATTAAACGACACGCACTCGAGTTCAAGAGGCGAGAAATGAATTAAATTGAAGCAATTTGTTGATTTTTTCGAACACTCAATTTTTTCCCTATTCAAATTTTTATTCTTTTGCTGTATTCCACTTTCATTAATCTAGGGAATTGTATTTTAATCCTTCAATTAATTGAAATGGAAATATTTATTGTCCCTTTTCATTTGATTTTCATGATTTCTAAGAAAAAAATAAAATAAAATTCCGACAAATTTTAATTTGCAGCTGTTTTTTCTCTTAGTTATTGTAAAATTATTAAAAAATGAATGAAAACAATTAAAAGCCATAATTATAATACGTATTCTTCAATTATTCAACTTAAATAGTTCTTGAACTTTTCAAATGTAGTTATTGTTATAATAAGACGGAAAAATGTTTAGAAATTTTGATTTTGTAGTGTTTTTTTTCCATTTAGGATAGAATTGTCTCCTTAACTAAGATGTCTCACTCCTAGAAGTACCTAATGGATCAATAACTTGACTACAATTTAATTCTACTTAGCCGGAAATGAACACTTCTTTTTTGAGGAGTGCCTGAAGGTATAAACAAGGAGCGAAGGGAATTCTTAATGCAATTAGAATGTGTACGTCCCGTCAACTCCGTTAAATTAAACGACATGCATTCTAGTTCGAGAAGCGAGAAATTAATTAAATTGAAGCAATATGTTAATGTTTTCGAACTCTCAATTTATTTTGCTATTAAAATTTTTCTTCTGCCGCTGTACTTCACATTCAGTAATCTAGGGAATTGTCTTTCAATCCTTGAATTAATTGAAACGGAATAATTTTTTGTTTCTTTCCATTGAATTTTCTTGACTTCTACGAGAAAAATAAAATAAAATTCAGACAAATTTTCATGTGCAGCTGTTTTTTCTATTTTCAGTGGATGTAATTGTCTTCTAAATTAGGATGCCATCTACGAGTACCTAATGGATCAATAATTGATTACAATTTAATTCTACTTAGCCGGAAATGAACACTTCTTTTTTGCGAAGTGCCTGAAGGTATAAACGAGGAGCGAAGGGAATTCTTAATGCAATTAGAATGTGTACGTCCCGTCAACTCCGTTAAATTAAACGACATGCATTCTAGTTCGAGAAGCGAGAAATTAATTAAATTGAAGCAATATGTTAATGTTTTCGAACTCTCAATTTATTTTTCTATTAAAATTTGTATTCTGCCGCTGTACTTCACATTCATTAATCTAGGGAATTGTCTTTCAATCCTCGAATTAATAATAATTTTTTGTTTCTTTCCATTGAATTTTCTTGACTTCTACGAGAAAAATAAAATAAAATTCAGACAAATTTCCATTTGCAGCTGTTTTTTCTATTTTCAATGGATGTAATTGTCTTCTAAATTAAGATGCCATCTACGAGTACCTAATGGATCAATAATTGACTACACTTTAATTCTACTTAATTGTAAATTAACACCTATTTTTTGAGGACTGCCTGAAGGTACAAACGAGAAGAGAAGGGAATTCTTAATGCAATTGGAACAGGTACGTCACGTCGACTTCATTAAATTCAACGACACGCATTCGAGTTCAAGAAGAGGAAAATTAATTAAATTGAAGCAATTTGTTGATGTTTTAGAACACTCAGTTTTTTTCCTATTCCTATTCCTATTAAATTTTTATTCTTTTGCTGTATTTGACTTTCATTAATTTATGTAATTTTTTCGTTTAATTTTCATGATTCTCAAATAAAAAATAAAATAACATTCAAAGAATTTTTTATTTGCAGCTGTTTGTCCTCCGGATTAATTGTTAAATTATTAAAAAATAGATGAAAACAATTAATAGCTATAATTATCAAACATATTATTGCAGTATTAAACTTGGAGAGTACTTGAATTTTTTTAATTTAGTCATTGTCATGATAAGAAGAAAAAATGCTTGAAGATTATGACCGCAGTGGTTTTGTAGAATTGTCTTCTAAATTAAGATGTCTTAATTAAATTACTCACCCCATGCATCAGCAAAACCACAAGACAAAAATAAATCAACTTCATGATGAGACAAGAATCTCAAACAAATTGTAATGGCACCTTTTCTTTGTTGAGGATGAGTTTTAAAAGATGGACACTGCAGAGTCGTTGGTACGAGGGACAAACCGAGACTGGAGACAACCTCGTAGTGTCCCGGTAACGGTTTTCAGGTCTTTGGCTCGGTCGCCTTCGTCTTCAAGTTTATATCACTAATACTAACAGCACCGGGGCAACACACTCGTGTCAGTGTTTCTGAACGTCGTGATTTCGGTCGCCTCGAATTCAAGACATTCTCGATTCTCGGGTTTCTCTCGGTTTTCAAGTTCAAGTTCAAGTAAAGGATCCTCATTGATTCGACTTCTGATCGAATACAAGTGTTCTCTGTGGTTACTGTTATTCTTCGAATTAGGGGTATGCTTCTCGGAACGGAGATGACGGACTTCATGGAAAAGCTTTTTTTAAAATGAAGAGAAGAACTCGTTCTGGAGCATTTATTCTTGAAATACAGCTGACAAATTTTTGCCGACGGTGAATGCACGGAGAGAAAAATTCAATAAAAATTTCCAGAAAAAGACGTAAAAATTACGTTTCGAAATGTAATCCGCGAGCGAAGTAAAATTCAATAGAAAGTGTGAGTCGCAACTGAAATTGTACGAATCGCCACGTAAATTCTACGATTTGTCCCGTAAAAATTAACCACCCGTCTGATGGCTCACCGCTGTGGGGACAACAAGTCGTTCCATAATTTTTCCCGAACGATTGAAAAATTTTACGGAACGGAACGTCCCAAGTAGAAATCGACGATAGAAACAGGGCTCATGAAGCCCTGGACCAAGGCTTGGGAATGCTCAATCAGGGCTGGGGCTCAGCCTTGAAGCAGCCCCCCTTCATCCCCAAAATGATAACCTCATTGCAGACTTAGTCCATAAGGCTTGAACAATGCTTGGCGCCAAGGCTTCGTCCAAGCCTTAAATTAAAAAATTTTAAAGGCTCAATCGCACTTCTTTTAAATAAATCATATTAATGTTTACGAATATCTGTTTAAATACTTTCTTATTGCTTCATAACCCCTTTTATGAATTTAAAAAAAGATTGACGGGACTACATATAGCTGCTCTTACAGATGAAAAGTTTATTTTATTTGTTTCTGAAAATACTTCCATTATCTTGAATAATTGCCATCTACCACTATTTTCTCAGAGGGGCTATATGACACTTTGGCTCTGGGTGAAAAAAAAATTCATTTATTTTTTGCATTTCTGGGGCATCTGAGGGGTTCAGTGACATTAAACGGGCCAAAAAATGCAGATTCAACGTTCACTCGGCGGAAAATTTCGATTTTTCCGAAAGTCGACTTTCCTCATGTTCTCACCTGAAGCAAAACGAGTTGATCAATTTCACATCAACCGATGAAACATTAATCTGCTTGACGAAGGTAAAAAAAAGGAAGAGGAGTCGCCTTCTTTGAACGCGACCTTCGACGTTCGATTTTTCCTGGATTCCGCTGACAATCTGATCGTGAAAGCGTAGAACAAATAAAAAAAATCTTCATCCAATAAAGAACGGAGGCCGGATTGCCAAAGGGTCCCTCGGAATAATCCAAGGGTAATAAAATGGAAGGAAAAAACATCACTGGGGTTCATGTTGGCGGAGCAATCGATAATCTTCTTCACACGTTTTCAGACCTCTGTGGCGCGGTGGAAAGATTGAGGTTCTTTATTATTATTATCATTATTATTATTTTTTTTTTATATGAAAATAATTCAGGTTGAATACACTGCAAATCTTCAAGGCGAGTTGGTGCAGGATTTCAACCGGTTCCTGAATTTTATTCTCGTTGTTTATTCTCCGCTTAAAGAATCCGTGAATTTGAGAATACATTCAGTTTTCCTTCCAAACGGAAGTTTCGTAGTTGTTTAAATTCAAGTTTAGAATTTTTTAAAGTAACCAGAAAAATAACGTAAAAGAATGACGTATCTTTTCCGTAATTCCGGAGCGAAATGTGGTTGTAGGAAATTTTACGGAACTGTCACGGAATTTTTCCGGAGCGTTCCGTAATTTTTATCTGAATCTCTTGTGAAAAATGACGATACCGTCACTTAAATTTTATGAGTCGATTCCGTAATCGGTGAGCGAAGTAAGAGTTCCGTAATTTTTACTGAACATTTCTCTCTGTGCGGCTGATCATCGCTTTTTTGATCAATAACTCTGAAAGAAAGCATCGGAGACAAAAATGTTACTAGAGTTTTCGTCTTCGAATGAGCCCTAGAACTATCCTCACGAGGATGACATTTCATTTTGGGACACCCTGTATACCATTGCTGAAAATGATGTGCAAAGTGATCATTCGGAAGCATATTCCTAATTTACTAGCGAAAATAACTATACCATAAAGACAAGAGCAATTTCCCACTTGCTGCTGATAATCCCGACCATTATTATATGATCGTATGGGAAAATGGAAATAAGGAGAAAGAATGTTGCGCAAAATTGAAAAGCCCGAGTCATGAGTTATTTGCTTTACGGTGATGCAAGTAAAATACGGGTGCCCATATGAGATTAGCTTCTACGCAGGAAATATGACTGGAAGGAGAGAAACTTATATATTCCACTGTAAAACGACTCCAGAACGCAAATGCAAGTCACACTGTGAAGTTTCGGGTTTGTGAGTTCAACTCATCACATAGTTTTCATGTTTGCCGTAAACATGAAGTGGATTATTCTGTATATGCTGTCCTTGGTGGGTATAACTAGTGCGGAAAGTGATGGTAACTGTTTCGTTATGATTAAAAAATTGAATATCAAACTTTTGAGTAGAACTTGTTGAAATTCAATTTATGGTGACGACTGGAGAAATATTTCAGTCTTTTTCGTAATTGCTGGTTGTAATAAGAGTTGGAAAAAAATATTTTGGGGGATTGTGTGGGAATAGTGGAATATCAAGTCAAAGTTCAAAATCATTCAACAGATGAATGGCAATTTTGATACACAGAAAAATCATTCGTAATTTTAAAAATTGTAAATTACCTGTTGTTTTATGAATCTTGTTCAAAAAGTCATCTTTTATCCTTGAAAATAGTTTTCAACACTGAAGAAAAGGGCAAAACATGGAAAAATGACATCTACAATATAAAAAATGTAATAATCATAGGCAAGATTTACGGAGAAAAAAAATTTTGATTTTGAGGAATTAATTCCCAGTTATTAACCCCTCACGTGCGGCGCCCATATAACGCGGATTGTCCCAAGCGCCGGGAGACTTATGGCGCGTCAACTCCTACACTGATAGAATGATTTATTTATTCCAAACGAGATTCGTTAACTATTAACGAATGGTAGAGTTGAATATGACCAAATGAATATTCGTTAATAGTTAACGAATGGTTCACTTGAATGGCGAAAGTCAAGTTAAACAAGGCTCCTCAAATATACATTCGTTAACTATTAACGAATGAACATTTGGTGGGACCGAATAGACCCTAACCTCCAACCAAAATCCATTCGTTAACAATAACTAATCCGTTCTATCAGTGTATGATCTAGAACTTATAGATAGATAGACAAAACAAAACAAAATTCCACCCAATTTTTATGAAAACCAAAATTCCAATGAAAGTCTCAATTTTGCCTCGCATGCCCCTATTGCCAAACTAACTTCTTCCGAATTTCTAAATTGTTATTTTGAAAACGAACAATACCTTCTAATCAAACATTCGTGTTTCACATCAGGAATCGTACTTAAATGACCATAAAAATGGAAATCATCTAGTATCTTGTGCGAAGAATATCAAATCAAAATATTTCCCCCTCTGAGTGCAAGTAAAGTGGGCGATACGTAATTCTCGAGATTTTATTTCCCTTCAGTTCCTGTGGTATCTTGTACGAAGATTGGACTGTAATAATCGGGGTCATAGGCAGTGTTCAGTACAACCAATAATTCATGATAAATACCTGGAAATCAGTGAAATGTCATTGAAAATCAAATCGTTTTCTCTCTGTGTTAAAGTTGCTTTCAAATGATTTTCGTATATTCAAAAAAGAATTTCAAACAATACATGAATTATATTTTTCCCCAGTGCCTCCTGGTGAATTCAAAGCCACTCGAATCGACTGAATCCTCGAGCGAAGTGATCCGAGGTGATCAGGGAGACTCCAAGGTCACAAGAACGATGGAAATTGAAAACCTTATACCCTCGCTTTCCGATGACGACGTGTCCGACGATGCGAAAGAAATTGTGAATGAAAAATCAACGGTGGAATTCGCCAACATCCAGCCGACCGTGAATCCGTCTCCTCCATCTTCTTCTCCTCCACCGCCCAATCCGCTCCTCGCACTGCTGCAACCGCTGATTAAAAACATTCAATTCTCACCACAAAAATTCTGGTCCGATCGCCTCAAGCAGTTGAGAGAGACACTCGCCAGTTACGGAATTACGGTGCCGAATAATTTCGGATTCAATCAGACCTCGTTGGGGAGACAATTGGGATCAAACGGCCTGTTTCACGTTGCGGGGCTCAGTGATGACGGGTTCTACACGGACAGACTCGAGCCAGCTGGTTTTTTCAGTGGTAACGGATGGTTCGCGAACAAGGGCGGCTTACTGGGCGGACCAGGTGCTATTTTTTCCACTGGATCCATTCTCACGGATTATCCCACGCCCTACAAAAAATAAAAATGATTCATTCATGTTACTGCGAAGTATTTTATTAATATTCTGAGAGGAACAGTTTTGCATAGTGCAAAAAAGTTCCTAGTTTCCAGTAAAGAATAGTTTATATCCCAGAACTCTGTTGAGATTGTGAATTCTAGAAATATGTAAAATTTTCATTTATTCCAAGAAAATTATTCTTTAAAAATGGACCCATTGGATAATAGAATTTTGTGATAAAAAAATTCTACAGATATGTAAATTGACATTTATTCTAACAAAATTTTCTTTAAAGATAGACACATTGTCCCCACTGTACCCATCCGGACGGGTTATCTAATCCAATCAAAATTAGTAATTTTGTTCTCACGACTGTAAACTAGAAACGAGAATTATTCTGAATTTAGGATCAATTTTTCAAGATAAATTTCAAATAATTTGTTTTTGGATTCGGAAAAATGCCACCTGCTTATGAAAATTACAACATAGCTCTCTAACACTTTCGAGAAGAGAACATTGCAGTAAAGAAATGGAAAGAAGTTTTAGGTAGTATGAATTTTTTTTTTATGTTTTAAATAATAGTACAATACAATCAATATCTATTAATTTTTGATGCTTAAAAAAATGCTTGAGTTTGCTACACTCTAACCCCACAAATTAATTCTTAATTCGAGATTAATTAATTCTTAATTCGAGATTTCGGTTACATTCATTATAATTAACTTTTTTCCGACACATGAATGGGGGCGAGATAAAAACGGATACCAGATGAATATAACTCACCTTTATAAATAGGATTCAGCCCACGCTTTCAACTTGATTGACAGTTCAATAATGAGTTATTCATATTTCAGGAGCAAAAATTAGTCTGTTACCCGTCTCATCTCGCGGGAATATAATAATTTTGAAAAAATTGGCTCTCAACCTTGTTTGTAATTGAATAACAGTCTGTTTATTTTCGGAGGAATACTGTGAATTATGTGATAAAATACCAATTGCGTGGGGAATATATTTGAATTTATCGATTTGTTCATCAGAAATTATATTTCCCAACGAGTATATCAATGTACTGGTTAGAAAATGTAATACTTGACAAACAAATCCATAAATTTGAATGTATTCGGTACATTAATAAACTATTTCCATGCGGTCAACGGCTCTGATGACCAACAACTGAATTCTTCATCAAAGAACTATTGATGCAAATTATCCACTCTCTCAACACATAACGGCTCTATCATGATGATGAATTATTCCCAGCAAAAGTCCAAAAATACATACAAAGAGCAATAAGGAAGGATCAGCCCGTGGTCAACGTCTTTTACGCTTTGTTGAGGGTATTTCACCCTTTTGTGTCTCAAAGACGAAGCAGCCAACTTCCTCGGTGACTGACACCAAGAGGGCGCGGTGAAAAGAAACTAGTGGAAAACTATAATGAAAATGCAGTGAGAATTAACGAATGGTATGCGATAAAAATTCGCGGAAAGTACGATCAAAAAGATTCGATTTTTTGTTTGTTTTTATCAACTTACTAATTTTTCTGTTCATTTGCAAAAAATACGCTTATGCACCTAGGGTCGATAAAGCGCGAATTCGGACTTTGCATCGTTTCCTTAGATCGCGGTTTCGCGGCCACATGTGCTTCCAAACAATCCCAATTATTTCACAAAATTTCAAATTTTTGCTTCTACTTCATTCCTTTTTTGTGAAGATTTACACAGAGAGAAATAGTCAGTAAAAATTACGGAACTCACAATTCGCTCACCGATTACGGAATTAACTTTGCAAATTCAAATGACGGTATCGTAATTTTTCACAGGAGATTCAGATAAAAATTACAGAACGCTGTGGAAAAATACCATGACAGTTCCGGAAAATTTCCTACAACCAAATTTCACTCGGGAATTATGAGAATGATACGAAATTTTTATTGAATATTTCTCTCCAAGTATAGAAAAAATCAGAAAAATCCCCACACACATACTGACATACGCAGAAATTTTCTAAAAACATTATATCTTGAAGTTTCATGAAATTCTACATCATTTCCAGGCAAAATTAGAAGATTGCAAAAATGGACGATTACAAACTTTCCATTTCGAAGCAAAAATGCATAGAGTCACATTAATCCGGATAGCTTATGCATCATTGAGCCCAAAGATTCCCAAAGATGAATTTTGAAATATTATGATGCATAGATCGGTTGCACCTTACATTAATTTAGATTTATTTATCGTAATTGAAATGTTAAAAATAATATAATAATTAGTAATTTAATTTCTCAATTATCGATTGATAAAATAACTCGGAATTTGAAAATGTAAATTGACAGTTATTATCAGAAGCAAAAAATTGGTGAGTAATATTAACAATTAACTTATTCCAAATTTAAATATAATTTAAAATTTCGATTATGCCGATGTCTGTTATGATGGCGACAATTTAATAAATTACCAAATAAACAATTTCATTGCTTCCCGAAACCTTTGCATTTTTTTCTTATTCTTATTTTTTAAATGGAGGAGGGCAGAGCAAGGCAAATTGCCATGTTCTGTTATCTGCTGTGACTAAGAATATCTTTGGTCATAAATGAAGATACTCGGATTTGGAGAATATCCCAAAACGTTCCACTTTGCCTCGCCTACCCCCACGATTTTTATGGAAAAAGTAAAAAAAAATCGCCGTAACCGAGGGTGGGGGGGTCTCATGGATCCTCTGACGTAATATATAAGGGGGTTCGTGTATGTGACGTCTTGTGTAGGAGGGGGGAGTGATCTGAAAAGTCCAAAAAACGCGTGACGCAATAATTGAATGGCCTCAACCGTGATTTATGGCATCCCCAACAAATTGAATGAGTCCCCCTCCCCAAGTTTAATTCTCCTCACATTTTCTGAATTATAAGTGGTGTTTCTGAATGATATCCTTGTCACCCTCCTAGTTCGCGTATTTATAAACACAAAGGGGAGGGTAGGGCAAAACGGACCACAAACAGAAAATTTGTAATTTTTGTTTTTTTTTCGTTCCTTCAAATCAGGAACACTGAATGTGTTGAATTAAATGTGAGTTTCTTGGATCATAACCGTCGCAGGGATTTTAGAGCCAAGAAGTGTCGTTAAACCGCAATTTGATCAGATTTGCTAATCACCTCAACCACAAATGACTTTGGAAAACCAATATTTCCTAGGAATCTGTGTTTCTAAAGGCAAAACGGATATTTTAATGTTTATTTCTTGCCTAAACAAGCAGCGCGACAGAAGCCATTTGACGGATTGCGTATGACTGCTACTCTCCACGTATTTTTGTTCCTCCTATTTTCATTTCTACCAAATTCATTGGTAGTAGGCTTCCGAATGGTTCCCAATGCTTGTTTAAAAAAAATAAAACCATATATTCATGTTATATGGTTTTCTCAGTGATCCTGATGTGAAAATGACAGGCGAAATATAGATGCGTCATTTTTTTTTATCAAGAATTTCTCAATTTTCCGAGGGGCTATTCACAGGTGTAATCGTGGTGTCACTCGCTGATGTAATCAGTTGTAATCCCAGTGAAATCAATGTAATCATTGTAATCACATGACCATATCACCATATTTGTAATCAAGTTTTGGTAATCAAGTGGTAATCATTTGTAATCAGTGTAATCTTTCGTAGTTGCTCCTAGTGAGACCGTAAATTTTGTTTTTGAATTTTCGAGCGCGTCATTTTTACCAACGGTAAGTCTCAGAGATCCCTGGATCAATTTTTCTTGGAATCCCAGATTTTGTTTATGTTTCAGAACCTCGCATAGCCAATGAGTTTTACACAGAGCATTTGTCCCTAGAAAATTGATTGAATAGAGTTAAAATTTCTTCTTATTCCGGAGAACCAACGACTGAATTATCTCTGAATTATCTGCTGGTAAGTTTCATTCTCCATCAATGGTAGATATTCAGTAAATTTATTTTACTGATAGCACTTATAAATGCCCAAATCTTTAGATGGAGTGATGGAGACTGCATTCCTCTGTTCTAATCCCCGCTCCTCCTTCCTCATTTCTTTGCAGGTTCTAATAATTAATTATTCCATCAATTCATATTTAATAAGAGGCCATTTTTTTGTCATTTCAATGATTACAGATGTTTGGTAATCACAGAATGTAATCAACGAAATCGTTTGTAATCATATAATCACATTCTGCGCTCTTGGTAATCACGGTTATCACATAGGCAATGGTAATCAGTGTAATCAGTCCCGTAATCCTGGGTAATCGATTACATTTTGTAATCGCGGTGTCACCCAATTCGCCTGTGAATAGCCCCACACAATTTTCTGTCAGTGGTCCGTTTTGCCCTGCGGTCCGAATATCGAAAACTTATAAGATTTCGATCTCTGCATTGTTTGCATTTACGTCACGCTTCATCTTAAAAGTGAGCACTCCCGTCGGACGTATAAACTCTGCAAACATTGCACTGATAGAACGGATTAGTTATTGTTAACGAATGGGTTTTGGTTGGAGGTTAAGGTCTATTCGGTCTCACCAAATGTTCATTCGTTAATAGTTAACGAATGTATATTTGAGGAGCCTTGTTTGACTTGACTTTCGCCATTCAAGTGAACCATTCGTTAACTATTAACGAATATTCATTTGGTCATATTCAACTCTACCATTCGGTCATAGTTAACGAATCTCGTTTGGATTCTATCAGTGTGCCTGCATAAACAGAAGCCATATATATGAAATGTGCAGCGAGCTACAGGAGAGAATATACATTCGCTGTTCAATAACCGGACATCAATATCGCTTGGCCATGACTCGGCATTTGGTTGAGTCGTCAGTGAGTGAGAGAGACAGGTGAAAAGCGTCTCGCCCCCAAACCTCCCTCAATACGTTACGGGTCTGACATAATATTCCTACATATTGGGGTAGACTTATGTGTCAGTGGATGACAAATAGAGCGAATGAAATGGAGAGGACTGACACATATTGATGATATTCTTATTGGCGTGCTGTAACACTGACACAGAATTTTCTCGACAAATGAC